AGTTACCGATGATGAACTCATGATTATCCGTGATGATGCTAGCGTTAATTTGATTGGCCAAGAGACGGATTGGGTAATTGATTCTGGAGCTTCATTTCATGTTACTTCGCGGGCTGATTTCTTTACTTCTTACTCACAAGGTGATTTTGGGAATGTCCGTATGGGAAATGAAGATGTGTCAAAAATTGTCGGCATGGGTGACATTTGCTTGGAAACAAATATTGGATGCAAATTGCTGCTTAGAGATGTGAGGCATGTACCAGATATTCGACTCAATTTAATCTCTGCTGGAAAGTTAGATGATGAAGGCTACATCAACAATTTCAGTAATGGAAAATGGAAGCTCTCCAAAGGTTCTCTAGTGGTAGCAAAAGGAAAGAAGACTTGTTCTCTTTACACTATGCAAGCAAAAATCTACAAGGGTGTTGTGAATATCTTAGAGAATGACTCATCCACTGATTTATGGCATAGAAGGCTTGGACATATGAGTGAAAAAGGATTGCAAGTTTTGTCCAAGAAAGAGCTTCTAGTGGGGATAAAAGATACGCCTTTGAAAACTTGTGTTCATTGTTTCCATGGTAAACAAAACAGAATATCATTCCGTAGAAACATTGCATCTAGAAAATCTCATGTTTTAGATTTGGTACATTCTGATGTATGTGGTCCTTTGAAAGTTAGGACACTTGGTGGTGCTCTATACTTTGTCACTTTTATTGATGATCACTCTAGAAAAGTTTGGGCTTATACACTGAAAACTAAAGATCAAGTTCTAGATGTGTTTAAGATTTTTCAGGCCAAGGTTGAAAGAGAAACAGGTAGACAGTTGAAATGTGTTCGCTCGGATAATGGTGGTGAATATATTGGACCATTTGATCAGTATTGCACAAATCATGGTATCAGGCATGAAAAGACAGTTAAAAAGACACCTCAACAGAACGGGGTTGCAGAGAGAATGAATCGCACCATTCTTGAGAGAGTCAGATGTTTGCTCTCACATTCTAAATTGCCAAGATCCTTTTGGGGTGAGGCAATGAGGACCGCAGTTGATCTTATCAATTTGTCTCCTTCAGTTCCGTTGAATGGTGATGTGCCAGAGAAAGTTTGGACAGGGAAGGAAGTCTCCTATGATCACTTGAGGGTATTCGGCTGCAGAGCTTTTGTTCATATTCCAAAAGATGAAAGGTCCAAGCTTGATCCAAAAGCAAAGCAATGCATATTTCTTGGCTATGGGCATGAAGAATTTGGATACAGGTTGTATGATACAGTTGACAAGAAAGTTGTCAGAAGCCGAGATGTTGTTTTCTTGGAAGATCAGACTATTGAAGACATCGACAAGCTTGAGTCAGCTGAGTCTAGTACTGATGATCTTGTTGATTTAGATCCTCTCAATCCCTCTGCTGTTCATGATATTGATGAGGAAGTGCAAACACCTCATGATGATGCAGCAGAAGATGATGTTGAGCCAGAGATTGAGGGGGAGCAACCACCCCAAGAGCCACTACCACAGACACCGTTAAGGAGATCTACTAGAGAAAAACAACCATCTAGAAAATATTCTTCAAATGAGTATGTGATGATATCAGATTAGGGGGAGCCAGGGACTTATCAAGAAGTCTTGAAGCATGAGAACAAAACTGAATGGTTCAAGGCAATGAAAGAGGAAATGAAGTCTTTGCATGAGAATCACACCTATGATTTGGTGAAGCCGCCTAAAGGGAAGAAAATTTTGAAAAATAAATGGGTCTTCAGACGAAAGAATGATGGGAACAGTTCTCAACCGAGATTCAAGGCACGACTTGTCGTGAAAGGTTTTGATCAGAGAAAGGGAGTTGATTTTGATGAGATCTTCTCACCAGTTGTGAAGATGTCCTCCATTCGAACTGTGCTTGGTATAGCTGCGAGTATGAATTTAGAAGTTGAGCAGCTTGATGTGAAGACCGCATTTTTGCATGGTGACTTGGAAGAGGAAATTTATATGGAGCAACCTGAGGGCTTCAAAGATAAGGGTAATGATCAGTTAGTTTGCAAATTGAAGAAGAGTTTGTATGGATTGATACAAGCACCGAGGCAGTGGTACAGAAAATTCGATGCTTTCATGAGTGAGAATGGGTATTCAAGAACCACTTCAGACCATTGTGTGTTTGTGAAGAAATATAAAGATGGTAATTTTATTATTCTCTTGCTTTACGTTGATGATATGCTTATTGTGGGCCAAGACACGAGTAAGATTAGCAAGTTGAGGTCAGAGTTGAGTAAGTCCTTTGCCATAAAGGATTTGGGTCCAACAAAGCAAATTCTTGGGATGAGAATTGTTCGTGACAGATCACATGGGCTGATTTGGTTATCTCAAGAGAATTATATTAAAAAGGTTCTTGAGAGGTTCAATATGGACAAAGCAAAGCCTGTTAATTGTCCACTTGTAGGCCACTTCAAACTAAGCTCAAGTCAGTGTCCTATAAGTGATGAAAAGAGAAATGAGATGCAGAAAATTCCCTATGCTTCAGCAGTTGGTTCTTTGATGTACGCCATGGTTTGTACTCGATCGGATATTGCTCACGCAGTTGGGGTTGTCAGTCGTTTTTTGTCTAATCCAGGGAAAGAACACTGGGCAGCAGTGAAATGGATTATGAGGTATCTTCAGGGCACTTCAAAGATGAGTTTGTGTTTTGGTAAAGGCGAGCCTATTCTTGATGGGTTCACAGATTCTGATATGGCTGGTGATATTGATAGTCGAAAATCTACTTCTGGTTATTTGATTACTTTTGCAGGGGGAGCAGTGGCATGGCAATCAAGATTACAGAAATGTGTTGCTCTCTCCACCACAGAAGCTGAGTTCATCGCCATCACTGAAGCTTGCAAAGAATTATTGTGGTTGAAGGAATTCTTACAAGAGTTGGGTTTGAAACAAGAAAGGTATGTCCTTCATTGTGATAGTCAGAGTGCAATCCACTTGAGCAAGAATTCTTCATTTCATTCGAGATCGAAACATATTGATGTTAGATATCATTGGATTCGTGATGTCTTGAATGATAAGTTGTTACAACTTGAAAAAATTCACACTGATGATAACACTTCGGATATGTTAACTAAGGTATTGACTAAGGACAAGCATGAGAAGTGTCGACTTTTGGCGGGAATGGTCGAATCCTCCACATAAGTCGGGAGGGGGAGAATTGTTGGGTTTCCCTCCTTTGTGGGACTCATCAATTTGCTAATTTTTTGGTGGCTTACCCGTCTATGACTCTTATCCAAGACTTGGTTTGGAGTCTTTAAGTTAAAAGGAATTTGGCAGCCACCAAAGACTATTAGTTTTGTCCTTTTCTTTGGTTCATCTTTTCTCTGTTGGTTTGGCAAGAAGACATATTTTCGGCAGTCTTTGGTTCAACAAAATTCAGCCTTCTTCTTCTCCTTTTTGGTGCCAGAAAAATCTGCAAATTTGTTCTTCAAGTGGGTAACATTTCTTCACTTGATATTTGGGTTTCTTGCGGTTTGTTCTTGGAGATTTGGTTCACTTATTTTGTGAGGTATTTTTCTCTTGTGATTTACACCTTGGTGTGTTTGTAAGGCTTATGCCTTTTGGCCACTTTGTAATCTGATTTGGTGATAGTGGAAGAAACTGACCTACCGGTCGTCGTGGATGTATTTCAAGTTATTTGAGGGAACCACGTAAATCTTGTGCTCTTATTTATTTTCTGTTATTTTATTTATATTGCTTCCATTGATTTACACTTGTGAGAAAGCCTATTTTCCCAACAGTTGGTGCAGTTCCATATGTGGATGATCCCACTAAAATGAAATCAAAGATTTCTTTTATCTGGACTTTCCACATAGGCTCTATCGTTCTGCAATTCAAACAAAATCATGTAGGAGGATATACCAATGTTAGAAGATGAAGTGAATTATCAATATGGTGCTTCAGTTCCCTAGAACAATCTTTGTGGCACTAAGTTGCATGATTTCTTTCATCAATGAGGTTTTGGTTTTTCTCTTTTGGGTTTCTGCAATATAGAAATTAAGTGCGACTCATGCTTTTTTTTCTGCTTCTACAAAGAAATGATGGAATTGTAGCGATCATTTGGAAAGAACAAAAAGACAAATTAAAGTTAGTGATGTAGATCATTGTTTCAGTGGGCAAAGTCATTACACTTTTCGTTCTTAAATATCTGTCGTTTAAGGTTTTTACACAAGCATTAAAGAAGTTATTAAATAGCTCTAATATGAGTAAAAAATAATTTCACAAAAGTAAAATATCTTTATCCAATACGTATTGGGAAGAAAAGGAATATGAAAGATACTTAACTTCTGTCTAATCTAATGCATTAAAAAGTTAAAGGGTAAATTTGAAAAAAAAAAAAAATAATTATACTTTGGTTTCATTAAACGACAGATATTATGGAACAAAAAAAATTGTGTAAAACGATAGATATTTAAGAACGGAGGAAATATATATCAGGCTTCCACCACGCGAGAGGATGAAGCACACATCTATCAAATTCACAGACTGATTTGAGATGGTGATACCTTGTTTATAAAGAATAAAACACATTTCAATTTTGACAAGCTAAGAATATCCCCATTATAAAATTTTAGGTGCATTGCCATTCTTTACCTTCTCCCAAGACACCCTTACACCTTAGAGTTTGAAACTTGTATAACAGATTGAAGGGTGTACCAATGAGAAATTGGTTAGTGGTTATAATTTAAATTTAGTACCAGTAATACAGGTTCACGCCATGTAGGCATGGCATCTAGCATAATCCGTCAGAGTGCACGCTGTCAATTCAGTGGCCAGCCTCTGTCCATACCCCATTCAAGTTGGACTTCTCAAAACCGAAGTTCTCAGATGTCTAGACTCAGCATAATCATGGTCAACAATTCAGTTCATAGGCACTGATGAACAGACAATACCAGGCGTGAGGCTAACCTATCTAGGGACGATACTAGTGGTATGACTATATTCAGGTTTGATCAACCCTCTGTTTTCGATTCATTTAGCGAAGTTGGCGATATGGCTTCTACATGGTTGATGAGGAAAGGATTCTTCCATCGGTTGACGTTAATGCCAAGTTCATCAATGGAAAGCCTTCAGGGATTGAAGCAAAGTATGTCACGAGGTCTCCAAGGGAGCACAGACAAGACAACTCATTTTCATTAAGGGTCCTACTCGGGTACAGTAATTCACTGGTGCAAAGGTACTTAACTTTGGGACAGGTTCCTGAGATTCATGGACATGGCTCGCAGTTCCAAAAATGAAGCAATGTATATCGTCCACCCCTCCATTTTTTTTCTGCCGACACCATTCTCTTCTAAGATAAATGGAACTTTATAGTTAAATAACTATGTAGATTCCTTGGTCAAAGTAGTGCAAGAACTATCTATGTACCCTCTCATTAAAGACACTTTGGTTTTTGGTGATATTCAAATCACTTTCCTTTAATAGGCAGTTCTGTACAGCTTGCTTGTGATTGATGGACTTGTCTATGACTCTGTTCTGTTGTACTGCTGCAAAAATATGGGGGAGGCTATAGTACCAATCGGTCAAAATTCGGAATAGTATCGAAAAAAATATGCGGCCTTCAATTTTTGTCATTAAATATTAAAAAAAAAATTTCGGAAAATAAATATTAAAAACTTATTCAGTGATAAAGGTTTTAATCTTAGTCGCAGTTTTTTTGTGATACTTTTACCTTTATTAATTATAACTTAATCTTAAATAATTATAACTTCATATCCAAATATAGTAATTTTATCATAAATAGTTATAACCTCACTTTTAAATATTATAATTTTACTTTTAATTGTTGTAATCTTACTGAAAGAGTTTGTACCTCACCTTTAAAGATGATAACTTTATCTCAAAAGTAATAATTTTGTCTTCGCAAGTAGTAGCATTACATTTATTAGTCACGATCGATCATGATTAATTAAGATCAATCTTAATGCCAAATTTTATTTCTTTTTGGAATTTTACTCAATTAGGATCGATCTTTAATTAAGATTGATTCCAATGCCAATATTTTTTTTGCGATTCCACTCAATTAAGATTGATCATAACTATATGAGATCGATCTTAATGCATTTGATAGTCCAAAAATTGGGACCAAACTAAATTTCTAGTGGTTTCAATTAAATAGGATTCATCACGATTAGTCGAACTTTTTTTTTCCTAAGTTGGTCCCGATCTATATTTAATTATGAATTAACATTAATTTAAAATTCATAAGATTAAAATTAATGCATAAAATGTTAATTAATTTTATGAAATTACATGTCAATTTAATGTAATTAAATATAGGACCGGGACCAGTTCAGGAAAAAAAAAAGTTCGACTAGTTGTGATCGATCCTATTTAATTGGAACCACCATAAATTTAATTTGGTTCCAATTTTTGGACCATCAAATGCATTAAAATCAATCTCATATAGTCATAATCGATCCAAATTGAGTGAAATTGCAAAAAATAATAATAATAATTTGGCATTGGGATCGATCTTAATTAATCATGATCAATCCTAATTGAGTGAAATCGCAGAAAAAAATTAGCATTGAGATCGATCTTAATTAATCATGATCGACCTTAATTGAGTGAAATCCCAAAAAAAAAAAAATTGTCGTTGGAATCGATTGTAATTAATCATGATCGATCATAACTATTAAATGTAATGTTACTACTTGCAAAGACAAATTATTACTCTTGAGATAAAATTATCATCTGTAAAAATGATGTACAAACTCTTTAGGTAAGGTTATAACAATTAAAAGTAAAATTATAATTTTTGAAAGGAAAAATTATAACTATTTATGGTAAAATTACTATATTTGAATATGAAGTTATAACTATTTAAGGTTAAGTTACGATTAGTAAAAATAAAAGTACCACAAAAAAAAATGGTTGAGGGTTACAACCTTTAAAAAAATGGTACAACTTTTATTGGCAAAGTTATCACATGAATAACTTTTTAATATTTAATGACAAATATTGAGGATCACGCATTTTTTTCGGTACTGTACCAAATTTTGACCAGTTGGTATATATATATATATATATATATATATATAAGATAGTTAAGTGTTTGAATTTATGAGGGGTATATTTTTCGCCCCAAATTTCACAAACTCAATACAAATACTCTACAACACATAACTAAACATACTCCAATACACACTCACTACACACGCACATTATATATACACTCTAGCTATACACACACACTACAATACACGTATAGTGTTATAGTTTAATATTCATTGTTTTCGGTCACGAGGTATCGCTAATATATATATATTATTTTATGTAAGGGGTAAACAAAAAAAAAAAGCATGGCGAGTAGCACACAGCTCACTAGTTACTGCACATTGAAAGATTGAGTTAGCTTCTACTGTACTTTGAAGCACTGGCAAAGCATTTACTGAGAATTTATGTTGTTGCTCTTCCAATGTCCGTTTTCCGAAATTTAAGCATGACGAGGTCCTGGTAGTATTAAACTTTTCATTCCATCTTCCTACAAATTCAATTAGATTTTATTGAAGTGATGGTGCTCAACTGCTCGTTGCCGAATGAATGCTTCCGTTCAAAAGTTCTACTGTTGTATTATTACTTATTGGGTATGTGCGTGTTTTGGTGTGTGTCTTTACATATGTTATGATTGAATGCAATAAATAGGGTGGTAGGTAGGCAAGGATTATTGCTGTGACAAAAGCAGTAGAATAAGAATTTAAAGCTTGAAAATTATGTCTTTAAGCCCACACATTGTGTAGAATTTATATAATGGACTTCAAATATTTATCAACTGATAAAGACCCTTAGTTTCTGAGACATGCTGCAACCTCCTGTTGAAATTAAAATTACAAATTCATCCTCTTTATCATCGTGAACAAGAATGAAGGAATTAAAGCTGATACTAGTTTGAGTTCTACTACTTCTTTGATGCCCATGTCACTGAGATAGGACTCCTAACCCTGCAGAATCTATTGCCAGAGTTCACCCATGTCACGTGCCCTTGAGAAAAGTTCACCTTCTCTGCCCCTGTTCTCTTCCTCGATATAAACCAAATTCTGTAACTCAAAATTTGATTAGTGTGTTTGAATATCAGTCGCCGTGGTTTAACTCTTACTTTGACTCCCTGAGGTGCTACCACTTCCACTGAGTAAGTGGAATTAGCGATCCCTACATTTGTCAGTCGCCTCTTAATCATCTTACTCATCATCATGGGCCTCAGAGTCACAGAAATGGAGGGGTAATTGAGGCTAAAGCCCATGTTCTTCTGCATAGTATCATGGCAGCTCACGTTCCTGTAAGTAATGGTGAAAATTTGTGATCTCGTGTATCCAAGAGTGCATAAATGAGTGATGTATTCCTCTTCCCTGATATCATATATCAGTCCTGGATTCATTGCTCTTTCTGGATTTACATGTCCAGCTCCAATGGCAAAAAGTCCAGCAGGTTTGTTTCCATCCATTATTGGTTTTCCTGAATGATCGGTCATATCTGCAGTTGTCATAAGTGCAGATTTGATAGCAGCTGGGGTCCATTCGGATGAGCCGAGTGGATCAGTGCAGCAATCCCACCAACATGGGGACAAGCCATGGAAGTTCCAGACATGACAGTGAAGTTCACCCTCCTATGATCTTCTGGTAGGCCGGTTGGTCCCAAGTTTTGAGGCCAAGCGGCGATAATGTTGACCCCCGGAGCAATCACGTCTGGCTTGAGAATTGAAGGATCAGTGAAACTTGGTCCCCTTGATGAAAACTGAGCGACTGCTGGGGCTCTGGATTTCCCAATTACAGTTCCCCCGAATAAGATTCGGGCTCTAGGCCTCAGTGTAGAATTTATGTAACTCTTCAGCTGAATTGATTCCTTGAAGCCAACCAATGTTGCTGGCAGGACATGAGCATCAACAGAATCTTCCTCCAAATTTATATCTGTATTTGCTAGAATCATTGCAGCACCACCAGCTTCCTTCACAACCTGGCCTTTTTCTGCCCTCCCATTGACACCTCGGTCACAAACTATCATTCTTCCACGAACTTTTGCCCGTGGAAGAGACCCTCTGAAACAGTATTCACTTCCCCTATCCCCTCCAGTTAGATAAACCAGCTCAAGCTCTTTCACTGCACCAGAAACATGGTTTCCTGGATACAAGGATTCTCCGTAAAGGTATTTTCCATTTCCCAGTTGTACTATTGCAGGAAATCTTCGATCAAGTGTGCTAGCACCAACCGTTGCAATCCAAGGAGCCTGATTGGCAACCGAGCTTGGAATTGGACCATTGTTTCCAGCAGCACATATGACTGATATTCCGTGCTCCATTGCTCGAAAACTACCAATGGCAATGCTGTCCTCGTAAAGTGGTATTGGGAAGCCACCTAGAGACAATGAGAGGACATCAACTCCATCTCTGATGGCAACATCCATTGCAGCCAGAATATCAGAGCTGTAGCAACCATTGAACCAACAAACCTTGTAAATGGCAATGTGGGCATAAGGCGCCATCCCCCGAGCCTCACCAGCTCCATTACTGAACACACTGGCCATTGGAACTGGAACACCAGCAGCAGTGGAGGCGGTATGGGTCCCATGTCCGGTGGAATCCCGTGGCGACACATATTCCTGAACAATACCTAATGATGTTGACATTGAAGCCACGTGATGGCCTTTGCTGAAGAACCTGGCACCAATGACTTTCCTGTTACAATTTGAAGAATTGAAGCCTTGCCCTTCTTCACAAATCCCTCTCCATTTCTGGGGCACCGGGGGCATCCCATGATCCTCAAAGCTTGGACTCTCTGGCCAAACTCCTGTGTCAAGTACCCCAATTATTGCTCCTCGACCAAACCCGGACTTGAACCAAGCACCCTTTACAGCAGTGTTCAGTCCCAAGAACTTGTAAGAGTATGTAGTGTGAATTTCGAGCTTCCGGTCAGGCCTTATTGCTATCACATCTCGTGACTTTTGTAGAACTTGAAGCTCAGTTTCAGATAGCTGAGCTGCAAAACCTTCCATAGCTGAAAGGTATGAGTATAACATGCGAGAAGACGGATCATCTTCAGGGGAAATAGTTCTTTCAAGAAATGAGAGGTGCCATTGAAGCTTAGAGGAAAAGGAAGAGCTGGTTATGGCTTGAGGGTGGAGTTGAATTATGTAAGTCTGGAGACTCTGAGCATGGAGGGAAACAAAGTGGAGCAAGAGGGTGGAAAAAAAGAGTTGGGTTTTGGCCTCCATGGAAGTATCGAGTGAGAGATGCTTGAATAATTCTGATTCATGTTTCTTGGAACGAACTGGGAGGGTATTTGAAGGTGCCGAAGAGAATTCAAAAACAAGATTTGGGAGGCATGTCTGAAGCTCTCTGAAATAGAAGAGGAAACTCGTGAAATTTAAGAGCTCTTCATCACGAGGATCCTTTGTCGAGTGTGTGAGAGAGAGAGCTTGGGTTTCTTGAGGAGCTTAAGTGCAGCATTTTAGTTTTCACGAGATGTTTTCGTTAGGTTTATTACACAGTAGTTTTCAAAAGATATGTAGCCGTTAGAATGAAAATCCTCCATGAATCTCTGTTTCTACATTGGGCTGTTACCCTTTTTTCCTCCGTTGGTACTGAAGTTGAGTGAGTGAGTGAGAAACTTTTAGAAAGGGTAGGGTACATACTGAATTAAATGCATTCATATTCATGAAAGGCCGAGTGAGTTATTTGCTAGTGCATTTATTTGTTGGCTCTTCTTTGTCTCCTCAAACTATGAGGTTTGTATCACTGTGCCCCCTTTAATATATTACACTTTTTATCTCAAACTATGAGATTTGTGTCAGTTTGCCCTCTCAACTATCGAGTTTATGTACATTATTCCCTCACACCTTTTCCCCACAAATTATCAAGTTTATGTCACGTTTCTTCTCTTAACTATTAAATTTATCATATTACCTCGACTATGTGAATTGATTTCACATTACACAAAATACAAACATTCGTTATTTTTGGATGGAAAATGTCAACGAGTCGAGTCAAGGCAAAGCGAAACAAAATTATATAATTCGGGTTTAAAGTGAAAATAATTTTTTGTCAAATTTTTAATAGAAGTTATTTGTTGGGATACTGTAAAACTAAATATGTACCGGAATCCAAGTTTCAGGATGTGGTTCCCTGGTAGGAAGGTGTCTTGCCCACGAACTTGGAAGTTGGAAGAACTAATTGAGTTGGCATCAGTCTGTTTATAGGCCAAGTGTCTATATGCATGGGCTTTAGACCAACTGAATCGAATTATTTCTGATGTCATAATGTGTATTATATCTAAATCCCTCAATATCAAGTTTTTTTTATTGGAGAAAAGGGAGGGGCGAGAGTAACTCCTTAGGCGTGACTATGAGAGTTTTTTCCCATAGAGAATTTTTTTACTATAGAATGTTCAGTTTGAATTATAACTATTAACTCAGAAAGATAACTCGTCCCTACAGTACAATCAAAGTCAACTAATAAACTACGTTATTCCCATAAATCAAACCTTGTTTGATAACTCCATAGAAGTTAATGACGATCCTAAACAGGTACAACTTACCACTAAACCACCACCTCAGTAGTAATTAAATCAAGTTCAATCATCTATAGTTTTATTTAGATTCCACTAGTTAAGACCCACAAGTTCAATGGGTTCTAAATGAAAGAAAATACTTTGTGTGTGTGGATACCAATTCTGTTATTTATAGTAACCTAAGGGTAACCTGTACTTGAAGGCATGGTGCAATATAAATAGTTTTGATAGAGATGATAGTAACCGTTAGATAAGTCTATTTAAGATCGTCGAATAGGCTTATTAAAATCTGTCATGTTTTATATTATAGATATAGACTAGTTATTCCATGTGCCTAAAGACACGGAGTAAAAAAAAATAGTCAACATATTGGTAGTGGTGGTGGGCAATAGTGGTGATGGTGGGAGATGGTGATAGTTGTAGTGGGTAAAACAACGACCGTGGTGGTGGTAACAGTTGTGGGTGGCAATAGTGATGATTGTGGTGAGTTTTGAGTAACGATGATAGTAATGATAGCCATGGATAGCAATGGTGGTAGTAATGGGTGTGAGTGATGGTGAATGACAGTGATGGTAGTTGGCAGTGGTGGTGATGGGCGACGATGGGTGATGGTGAATGACGACGATGGTAAGTGTGGTGAGAGTAGGTGATAGTGGGTGGCTGCAATGGTGGGCGATGATAGATGGTGATGGTAAGTGTGGTGGGGTAGATGACAATGACCGATGACAATGGTGGGTGATGGTGGCAAGAACAGAGCTACATGTATTGGTGTGGGGCAACTACCCCCACTGACTTTTGAGGGATGAATTATATAAATTTACATGACAATAAAATTATGTTTAATTTATCTCATTGCCCCCCTAAAATCTTTGAAAATTTAAATAGTGGCCCTAAGTGGTTTTTTTATTAAAATAAGTAGTAAAAAGGATGGGTGATTCTTTAACTTATTATATATATTAGCCAAATACAATATCTCTCTTATTTAATACAATTTCTCCTATTTTTTAATATTATTGTATAATAACATACGAATAGATGCAAATGATAAGTTATGCACATTTATGCCCTTCCAAAAACATCAATTTCTCAACAAGATTTAAAAATTACTTACAAATTTATTATAAAATTGATTAATTATAGACATTCTTGAGATTTAAAACTATATATTCTAAAAATATTAATTTTTGAACAAGATTAAAAGAAAATTGCTTTGAAATTTATCGTAGAATTGATTAGCTATAGATGATTTTTGAGATTTTAAACAATATCGTTGTATTTCTCTTTAATATATGATTGAGTTAAAATTGTCACTAAAAAAAATTATTGTTCTTGTTTGTTCATATTTTGTTAAATGTTGAATTGGTTTATTTTTTTATAAATTATGTTAATGTGTTTCTCATAGTTGAACTTTAAAAAAAAAATTTGCAAAATTTATTAATCCTTATTATTGGAGGTGGGGTTGAATTTTTAATACCAATCGATTAATCTTTTTCGTTTATATTTTTGCCCCCACTAGAACATAATCTTGGCTTCGCCCCTGATGGGTGGTGGTGGATGCTGACAGTGATAATTGGATGATGGGGATAATGATAATAAATATAAGAATAAGATGATGATGGTGGTGGTCAAAGACGACGATGATAGCAATCAGTGGTGAGTGACGATGATGATCGTGGTAGCGGTGGGGCAGTGAGGGTAGGGTGGGGTAGTGGCGATGGTGGAGGTGGCAATGGTAGGTTGGTGATGGTGGTGGTAGTTGTGATGGTCATAGGGGTGGTGGTGAGACAGTAAGGGTGGTATGGGTTATGGTGAGACAGTAGGGGTGGTGGTAATGTGCAACAGCGATGATGATGATGGTAGAGTGGTGGGGCAGTGGAAGTGGTAATGATGGTAAGACAGTGGTGGTAGTGGTAGTGATGGTAGAGTGGTAGTGGTGGTGGTGGTGGGACAATAAAAGTGGTGATGGTAGTGGTAGAGGCAGTGGTGGGTATGGTAGGGTGACGATAGTGATGGTGGCGGCGATGATAGTAGTGGTATTGGTGGTGACACTGGTGGTGGTGGTGGTGGTGGTAGAGCGGTGGGGGTGGGGGTGGGGGGAACAATTCCTCTCAAGGTTCAATGCAAAAACAATATTTCAAGTAGGTTTCAGAAATTGCAAAGAACCGCTGTTAGGTATGCTGCCCAGTAAACCTGAGTCAGTCCGGTCCGGTAAGCCCGATCGGGATCGGGATGATAAAGGTGGACTTGTCCTGCCATTAATGAAATTCAGAAGAAAACCCAAGGTAATTATCCCTAAAATTCTGAACCACCTATCGTAGTAAACATCTTTTTTGTTACTTTCTAATAAATTCAGGTTGAATTACAAAATAGAGAACATGAAAAACCTATCTCACAAAAAAGCAGAAATATATTTCTTGTATTTGACTTTATGCAATATTATGCGGTTGACAAACTATACGGTGAATTCTAAAACTGTTTCCTTGAAACGGCTTGTTTCCATACCTCCACCACACCTCTGAGACTCAGCAAGGTCTTGTCTTAAGCTCCAGCATACATGCGTTGGGCATCACTTGAACTTCTGCCGAACTCATTGAGTCCCAGTCACGACTGTTCTCTTTGCTCATTCTTCCAAGAATTTTTGGCTACTTCTGATGATGAACCATTAGAATCTGCATTACCACCTTTTGGTTTGGAAAAGAAAGGATCCCATTCATGAGGCCCGACCCCACGCTCCCATTTGTCTAACAAAGCATATTTCCAACTTAACTCCTCAATGAAATTGTCATCATGATGGCCCTCAACAAGGTCCCTTCTCAACTTTGTAACTTTGTCTATAACAGCCTGCACAGCTACGTCGAAGGCATCATTAAGAGTCTCCAATTTAGAGCGAGGATCAGCATATATCAGCCCGGGGATAAGATTTATAACTTCCTCCCTCATTATCTTAACCTGCTCAGGAGAAATTTGACTGAGCCTCTGCTCTATGCTAACATTCTTCTTACGAATATCATCCTCTGGAATGAATACCGAGTACTTTGAATAATTCTTCGGAAGATGCCAAGTATACTGTGTGTACGCTGAACCAGGATGGAAGAAGACAGGTATGCAACCTGCCAACATTGAGTCAAAAGCCGATCTTCTTGTGTATGAATCACCTTGAGGCTGTAGGCAGAAAAGGGAGCTCTGAAACATCTGCATTATACTGCTTGGAGAATGACATTTACTCTCCCCAAAATCACACTCCAGTAGTTTGCAGGCCCTGGAATCCTTGCATTGATCAATGATCTGTCCCCTAATTGATTTGGGGTTTCCTGGACGTGGTGCGCCAGCAAAACAGAAAAGCCATTTTCTCTCCAATTTCCTCATCCGGTCCTGCCAAATGAAAACATCAGCATCCTTTGCTGGATGGAAGTATGTGGGATATGGGATGGCAAAATCATTTGCATTCCAGGGGCTTGATTCTACCACAAGCATTGACATATTTTTTGCAGCCGGTAAGAACAGAAGCTTGTTGCCCCAGTCTGATTCTGCATCAGATAGTCTCCTAAAATCCCATGTTATCCTACCCGCAACAAGAAAATGATCCTTCCCTCCCATTATGCTCCATTCTGGCCTCTTCAGGAGCCAATCAACCAAATCGAGAGATGCAGCATCCCTCGTTGATATGTTGTACCCCCACAGATACCGAGCTATATCAAACCCCGCGTAGAAGGGCACAAAAATGGCAGCAGCAAGAGAAGAATCATTTGTCAAGCACTTGTACTGCTTCATTCGATTACCAAAGATCACATCAACAGCAAACTGATTCGTCGCATACCATCCAGTATTTGAGAAGACTCCTTCAACATTCTCCAATGGGGGACCAAGCCCAGAATTACTAGTGAACTTACACATGTTGGTCCAAAGGCTAAGACTTCTGCATTCCCTGAGCATATCATCATTAAACCTAGGAGGAAGATCATGAACATATATATACTTCCCTCCACATGGATCATTCTTGTTCTCTCTGGTTCTCAATGCCCTCATAAATGGGTAATCCTCCGATTCATCATGGCCACTACTAGTTGGACGACTAGTAGTCACTGGGTTTGCTTCAGCAATGTGGGTATTGGCATTGACAGAAACTTTTGGAGCATTATGAGAGTTAGTTGCTGGACGACTGGTGGTAGTGGGACGACTAATAGATGTTAGTAGGGAATCGGTATGATGCCTATTGATTGACTTAGTAGTAACAGAGATGGGGTGGAACAGTGAAAAATCGTCGGCATTACTACCTCTGAGGACAACAAAATGGAAATACAATAACAAGAACCAAAAAAACGCAGCAATCGAAGCTAATAAACAAAGACGGGACTGTTGATTCTTCCCAGCCCTCTTCTCCATATGATCCAATGAAGGCATCGCCGGCGGGCGGCGTCTCATCAGATTTCAAATAGATAATTCAGCTGGATGGAGCATAAAAAAACTCATCAGAGCAACATTACAACCCAGGTCATAGATTCAACGCTTCAAACACTTAAATCAAAGATTTAGCATCATCCAGTCTCAAAAACCCTAACCCTAGTTTCAAATTCTGAAAACGGAAGAAGTTCAGCAATGATCAGAACAACTTACATACAATTCAGATGAGAATTACCAAAACAGCAAAGAGAATATATATCGAATCTAATTGAATCCAATCTGAACGAAAAATAACACCGAGTTGCATTTGCATGGGCTGTGTGAATAGAGAATGAACTCGCACAAATCACGAGAAACAAAAGCCGAATACTGTTCGATCAGTTGCTGATTTTCAGGAATCAAAGTAAACAGAACAACAACAACTCCAAGAGATTTAATTTATAAATGTTTAATGAATATTTTAGCACGATATTACTGATGAAATAAGAACTTACAATCATACAATTGAAGGAGGGACAGAACAGAAGAGAGACAACGCTTTAGAGTGATTGGCTAATGAGCGTTTTTAATGTTGACACTTGAGAGATTCCAGAGACAGAGAGCGAATAAGATAGGGGTTACCAGAATGCGTTGGTCGGACTTGGACTGGTTTCTCCTTTTGTTATTTTATTTTTTTGTTCAAATCCTTTTGTTATTTTATTAGTATATTATTTTTCGGCGAAAATTTAGGGGTATTATTGTCGTTTTGACTCTTGCTGTCGGTAGCGGCTGGATTTTGTGCCACGTGGACATCGCGATTCGCGATGGCGTCACCGTCCTGAAATCACGTAGTCTGCTCAAAGGTTTTTTTAAAATATTCAAAAATGTTATGGGGGTTTAATTTATTATAATTTTTAAATTAATTTTAATGTTATTAAATATTAGAATTTAATGTTAATTACATTAATAAATTACATCAGATTTATAAAAAAAAAAAAACAAAGACTTCAAATCATTCACGGAAATAATCTATAATACTTAGGCCAAAGTTTTGGAAACAAAATTAATTAAATATTGACACGAAAATTTTATAAGCTTATAAAATGAATCAAATTATTCCAGGCTTAACTCAACATCAACGAACATCATAGTCAATAGATTAAATTACACTAATGGTCTCTATACTTAAGCCCCAATTTCACTTAAGCCCCACCCATAGTGTACAACATGCACCAATTAATGAGACCCGACACTGATTTTGTATTTTTCTTAAATATATGTCGTGTATGATTTTTACACAGGAATTAAGAAAATTATTAAATAACTCTAATATAAGTAAAAAATAATTTTACAAAACTAAAATACCCTTATTCAATACGTATTAGGAAGAAAAAGAATATGAAAGATACTAGCCTACACTTAATTTATTGAGCACTTATTGAAAAACAAAAATAAGGGTAAATTTGGAAGAAAAAATATTAATTATACTTTGATTTCATTAAACGACAGATATTATGAAATAAAAAAAATTGTTCAAAACGATAGATATTTAAGAACGGAGAAAGTATAATCTTGGGCCACCATAATAGTTACTTTATCAACAAATAAGCAGTTTTTTTTACCTTTCATGAGACAAAAGGTAACGAAGATAATAATTAGGTCAACTGTTAACTTGCAGTTTAGATTTTGAATCTCGCATATTTAATTAAAAGTAATATTATTTAGATCTAAAAATTTAATCTAATTTACTGATCTAATGATATAATTTCATTGAAACCATTTGATGAACACCAATTTTAATGTTAAATAAAGCCTATAATCAATTCAAAGATATAATAAATTAAATCAACAAATTAGATTCCATTAGCGTTGCTCTTTAATTAAAGAATGGATAAAGACTACAGATGGAACCGGGCACATGGACATGGGGTATTTTTGTGTCTGAGGGTTGGGCATCGGACAATGTAAATAAAGACAAAGAAAGGCTAAACACACGACAATGTAGGACCTTAACTCCTTAACTCTTCCTGATTGATCTGAACGTGGACCAGGAGAGTCGAATTATATATGATATTGCCCAAATAATTTCATAAGGTGGAAGAATTTAGAGAGAGAGAGAAACGGCAACAGGAACCTTTTTATCCAGACAAACCGATCCAACCGGCATTGATTTGTTCAAGAGTAGAGAAAGAAAATAGGCACAAATCTGCAAATCTTATGTTTTAAGTATTTATAACAACAAATAACTCAAATTTAACCATGTTACAACTATGAGTGCGACAAAAGCACGTAGTTGAAACGATTCTTTTTATCATAAAAAAACAAAAAACAGATGTACTCAATGGTACACGATTGAAAGTATATTGACCAACGGAAAGAAGAAAAAATTGTACCGCCTTGACTCGATTTAGCCACAGCCATGATATGATGTAAATCAACACATCATCAAGTGGCAGATAATAATGAGAATAGAAGAACAACAAATGCCAATAATAATATCATCAACCACAACCCTAACTCTGATTTGCTTCTTTTTGCACCCGAAAATCCTCTATGGAGCTTCAGATCTTTCAGCGATAAGCAAACTCCAGGTTCTCCCATCTTGAGCTCGCTGCCGACCAGGATGGAGTTGTTCACCCCTTGAATGTTGTTGTTAACATATATGTTAATACTACAACCATCCGGCGACACATCAGAAGTGCCATGGTGTCGTACAATCATTGCTGCCCCGACATTCTCTCCTTCCAACTTGAGGTGTTCAAAAGAGGCATGGCTGTGTTGTCCGGTCATATAGCGATTGATCAATGCTTGTATGTCGACACTTGCAGTGTCTGGTTCCTTGTAGTGGGGGAAGTTTTTCATGGTGCCTGCCTTCAAATCTCCATGGATAGATTCTTTACTTATAAACAGAGCTTGCAAGTACTTTACTGCAACAACAAGCAAAGCTGATATTCCCTTGGAAGGACTTTGCCCAATAACCCATTTGGGCACACAGATTTTAGTAACTGTACTACAAACTTTTCTTTTCTTTCTTTCTTTTGGGAAAAAAATTAATATACTCAGAAAGTGGAAAGAGATAATTCAACATAATTTCAGTTAAATTCCAAAAACAAAACCACAAGCAGCGTTAACGACCAACTAATGGGAGGCACAGCCACTAAAGTGATTAACTATTCCATTAGTGAATATGCAAATGTGAGAAAAGCAATAGAACAAATACAAATTGTTCCTCCACAATGTAATAAACCCAAGGCCCGATAACCAGCCAAAAGAAACCAACTGCTTATTTTTAAGATCAGGTGCCCCAAATATTTGTCAGAATTATACAAACATGAAATCATTGAAGAATGCTTCACTCGTTATTCCTTCCAAGTTAGTCTCAGCAGAAAAAGGCCTCTTCCAAAACCTATTTTCGAAGGCCAAACTGATTAGTACAATAATTACAACTATTAGTTCAACTTAACATCAGATCTAAAACATCAATGTACCCCAGTTTCCACATGATAATGGGTTCTCTAGGCATACAGAGTAAAAAAAGTTTGGGTACTTCAGGTCTTTGTAGTACATCGAAATATGAAGGGAACACATACCTGTTTCCAAAGTTTCCGATTGGAGGACAAAAAGTACAAGATTAAAGATTCAAAGAATCTCATGGCCATGACTCTGGAGATACTCTCTCACTGACCGTAGAACCATATTGTGGCCCACCTTTGCGATATTGAATAAGAAATTCGACCGGATATCCCTTCAGCTTATGCGGTACAATCCCAAGGCCATCAAAAGTCAAAGCTGTAAAAACCAACAGAAAATTGAAAGTTGAAATACATATCAAAACAGCAGCAACTGTGCAAGAGTAATGACAAAAATCATCATAGGAAAATATGTCTTAATCCTTGAACTTGTTTCACATACCATCTTTTGACATTACCGTATCTGTGGAAAAGGCTTCGATAAAATCCAAATTGAATATTGTCGGAGTGGGCATTGGAAAGGGAACTTTTTTGAGCAATATTTCTCTAGGCATTGCAATTGCCTGAAATCATACACACGGAGACACAATTATGAAGCGGCTCAACCCTTAAACTCAGTCACCTGCCAGTTTTTGATTTGATGTTCATAAACAACATGTAAACGCCAAAAGCAAGAAAGATGAGACAACCAAAACTATGGTTGTCCTCGTTGGTGTACTATAATCCTTAAATTTTTAAGCATGTGCACAAGCAATAAGACAACAGGAGATGTGCAATCTGGATTGGGGTGGCTCCAGCATGTTGTGAATGAGAACCCTTTTGTTGTTAGTGTAGCAAAAAAAAAAAAAAATCATTCTATTGGAAATACAAAATTTTGTTTCTTTTTTTTTTTTATGAGTTTGGATAGAGATATTCTTTTACCTTTCCACAACTGAATTTTTAATCAACTCATGTCATTTGTAAGAAAGAAAAGTGGCCATTGGAATTAACGTGGCTATATCACACATTAGAGTGATGATATATTAAAGAACGTTAATTTGTTACCAGAATCAAATTTATATGGCTTTGCATTGCTAATAGAAGTGTGAATTATTGAAAATTTTGCTTAGCAGCTGAAAGATGGTTGTCTGGCTATCTAATAGTGACTGTTTATACTTGATACACTTGAAATCAGGATAGATTCTTTCACCACTAGAGTACGATAAAAATCTACGATTGCAACTATTTAAGGTGGGTTAGTATTTGCTTTTAATTTTTGATAAAGATGATAAAATTTTCTTTTCTTTTCTGTAAGGATCACACAATTGAAGTTTCACCAAACAAGGGTTGTCAATTTAAATACTTAAAAATTTCAAAATCTACGGCTAGGGAATTCTTTGATCTGGAAACCCCCAAAAGAAGCATATTATAACAGAGGATATGCCATCCAAACAGATAGATGGGCAGAGAGATAATTAAAGTAGCTGGCTCCAGGTAGTTGGGAATGAAATCATCCACATAAAACCTACACTAGAGTTCACACAGCACCAAGCAGTCCTGAGTGCAATAGTTTACTTACTTACCTTAGCAATAGGCAAAGGAATTTTCACATAGCGAGGCCATTCACGGATCATGTCATACATAAGCTCAGCCTGCAGCGCACTTAGAGTTCAGTGAAAAAGAACAACTCCAAGAAACTGCAACAACTTGGTAGGTTAGAAAAGAAAGAGGAAAGGGCAGAGAAATCACCAACTGATGCATAGTAAATATCTCTGGTCCACCAAGTTCATAAACTTTCCCCATGCTAGTGCCATCATCTTTCAATGCCGCCACAATTGCAGAAGCAACATCAACAACATATACAGGTTGGATTCTGCAAAGAAACTGTTGTCAGAAAGATATCCTTTAAAGGTTCAGAAAAACAATTAATCAGAGAAACAGGCTATGTTTCCTATACGTCCAATATCAGATAGAAATCAACAAAATTTCAGCTAATAGATTGCAACCATACTTCGTAGATCCATCCCCAACAAGAGGAAGAAACCCATATTTTTTTGCAAAATGTGCCCATGGATTTAAAATCCGATCCTCCGTGCCAATCATCACTGCAGGTTTCATAATTGTTGCCTGAAGATGGATGTATACGTCAATAACTCCCTTTTGAAACACCAATGTAGCTTCCAACAATGAGAGAAACAAAGTAAAGGCATTGTATTTTAAATCATTCAAGCATAAGCAATAGAAATTAACGTTAAAAATGCATGAATAACTACTTAACACATACCAAAACCTTAAACCACAAAAATTCAAGCTTTAGATTCAAAGTGACCGAAATCACATTCTCTGTGTCATTGAAGAGTCAACACAATTTTTGAACTATTCATCCCCAATATCATCCAAACAGGAATGTTCTCCTTTATCTTTAATTTTACTTAAAAAAATATCATGATACAATAAATCACGACAATCATGTGGCTAGTAGGCCATGTACTTCTATGTGAAAGAACAAAAGCACAAAATTGGCAAAACTTGCACCCCAAACTCTTGTGTCTGGTTCTATAGTCGAGATGAAATTGAGAAACTAAAATCAAATATAACCCCAAAAGAATAAGATTCCGTAAACAACATAGAGGAATAATGAAGGAAATATATTATTGAGGTAATTGTATTTGTTTCGGTAGATATGCTCTTCTGGCACTTGAAGACAATGGTTTTGTAAGTAAAAAAACATTAGAAAAATGAATTGTACTGGACACCATGCTCCAAATAAATATTACATCATTTTATGCTTTTTGTCTTTTTATTTTTAGGATAACAAAACAGTGCATAGCTCCATTCTTTCAAATTTACTTTCAAAATTTTCATGTGTGTAAGTTAAAAACTACTAAAACTGGCAAAAAGGAAGATCAATACAAAGTTAAGCAAAGTATACAAAGGAAGCAAAATTTATTATGATAAAACAGCAAAATCACGATCTTCAAAATCAACATCAGGAGACAAAATTAGTTTAAATAGAAAAGTGTGACTCACCTCGGGCAGTTCTCGTAAAACAGCTTCTTCAGCAGCAGCTTTCGATCTAAGCATTTTGGATGGAGATGATGATGATGCCCCCAAGCAAGAAAGTTGTATAAATCTCATGATACCACCATGTTCTTTTGAAATCTGGACATGTAACATGTAAGAATTATCAACTACATTGAACCCCAGTTTAAATGAAGTTAACAAGAGAACAAAAGAAAAAGGAGCCAGTAACTTATGATGGGATGATAATAAATGATGCAGATTTTTGGCTGCTAGCAGTAATATGTTTGCAAATTTGAGAAGACAATAACAGTGATTGTCAGATTGACAAGGGTTCTTTTCATGGGGGAAAAAATATTTTCTCTATCCATTCTGCCAGCACATAAACAATTTAGAGAGTGTATTTTGTCATTGTTAATCCAAAATTACTTCTTTTTCTGTGTAATCCACGTCCTTGAATCTTATCGGTGAACCAGTTAACATCAGAGGTTTAACCCTCCTTTACTGTTGTCCAACAATTTATGCTCAGGATAACCAGTGTAACATCCCCTTATACAATGATTTTAGAGGGGTCAATGAGGCTTATATTATGCTCTTGATTCTGCACATCTTTAGCACCATATTGAAAATCTTCTTCTGATTGGCATGTCGAAGCTTTGGGTCTTCTAGGGAAGGTCACTAAATATAGCATGAAGAAGCTTTGTGTTCTATGGATTGACCATATTTTGGCACACTCTTACATCTTCCAACCATATTGAGATATGAAGTTGTAAAAGCAATTAAATTTTGTACTTCATGGACTTTCACTGACTATAGTGAGAGAGAAGTCAATTAGTCAGACAATTAAGTTTCCCTCAGAGTAGCGTTCAGGATCAATAAGTTCTACCTTTTCAATACTTTCTTTGATATATTCGTCATGATTGAAGTGTTTCTATTAAACCAAGAAACACCAAGAAGCAGGAAGCATGAACAGGTGCATTCAAGCAAGGCAGAGTTTGCAATGAAGACCCATTTTCCACTCCCCTTTTTATTTGGAACCTCACCACCAACTAGAAAAGCTTGACAGGTTGGACATTTGGTCAATACGATGCATTAATATTTCACTGAATGAAAATGAATAATTGGCTTATTTGTCCGATCGTACAGTATCTCTATATCTCTAGCACAACAAACTGATGTAAAAAGAATTCTTCTAACAAAATGATACAGATTCATCTTTGTTACTATCATTAAGGGAGAGTAAGGGTTTGTCCCCACTTGGTTTCCCTCTCAACCGCCATTAGCAAGTTTTTCTCCATTGTCTCTCTCTCACATAAAGAGAAAACTCTCATCTCCCACCGCCCCCCCCCCCCAACAAAACCGTCTCTCTCCTCAAATGTTGCTTCCTGTTTCAACATCAAAATTAGAAATTAAAACTAGAAACCTGCAAGTTCATGAAAAAAGAAATTATTTTCTCTTTTATTTAGGTAATTTGGTATAATTTTAATTTCTTGAACAAAAAAAAAAAAAGAAATTTGAAAACCTATACACATGGCATGTGCCATGACTAAAAAAACATGAGATAATCCTTATATTCCAGGAATAAAGTAATAATGTTATGAGTCAATTTCATCTCTCAAATTGATCACTCTATTTTATACAGTAATTTTGAGTCACCTGAAACTGCAATCTGTCTCAAGCTTGGTTACGGTGCCATCAGGACAGGATTAGCTAGGAGTGTGCATACGCTCTAATCCTACTCCTATTGCAAGAGGAGTGCAACCGTATCATAAGATTACCGCATGGCCTACATCCTTCTAAGACTTAAGACTATGCACCTCTGCTGAGGTTTTATGCATGATTTTACTGCTCAAATATGATGTTTGCAAAAATTCTATACAGTGGAAGAGGAGTTCCAGGAAAATAAGAGTCACAGAACAAAGAAAATATAATCTCGGGAACTTACCATTGCAAGCTGTTCAGCCATATAATGGTTCACTTCTTCAAAGCTATAATTTCTAGTCTCATACTCCCTTCCTGTCAGCGAGGTAGTTCATATGTACACCACATTTCAATCCCACCAATACTTACAAAGTTTTCCTACTTAAGAGTGACAATTGAAGAACACATACCAATAAGATTGATAACAACATTAGCCTTTGCCATCACCGCCTTGATTGAATTCTCGTCTCTTGGGTTGTATTTCATTGGAACAATCTACATGAAGGAAATAGGAAAAGAGGAATTTACAAATATTATGACCAACACTGCAGATCCATCCATTCCATCAAATGAAATAATTAAAAAGTCATCAGCATCTCACCTGCCCTAAATCACCCATCAATTTGAGATGACGCTGAGAATCCTCAGAACCTCGGAAAGGAACCAACACTTGAGATCCCATTTTAGCTGCAAAAGAAAAACATAAGTACACATATATGGCTTAAGAAACAGACCTCTCAACAGAAGAAAGAACTTTAAAGTAACAAATTTCTTTTGCACTGAATCAAGAAGTTTCTCGAGAATGGGAGAAACAAGGTGCTTCATGTCACATCTGGAATATCTTGAAACGAAGTGATTTCATTTTAATTTTGTGAATTGGTGGATTCCGAGTTTTTTTTTTATTTTGGGTTTTGTGGGGGGGGGGGATAGGAGGTGGTGAATACATCCAATAGATTCCTACTGCTGGAGAAGTTCTTAGTCGGAAGGATTTAAAAACATCCTTCAATTAGTTATTTGTAATCCACATGAAGTGGATGTCAAATCTTAGATTTATTTGAATAGATATTGGGAAACCCTACAGCAATAGATTTGGGACGTGGAAGTTGGAACCAATTCCAAGTCCTCGTCATTTCAAATTAATCAATCCAGAGGCAACCACATAGGATTAAACATAATCGGTTATATTCTGCTCAGGACAATGATGTAAATTACCAACTAAACTAAAACGTAAACATTCGACTCACCAAGCTGTTGCACAAGATAACGTCCAAGAAACCCGGTAGCTCCAAATACTGCAGCAACAATGCCACTGCCAGACAAATTCAACTTATATAGTGTTCACAATTCGACAAAAAAATGAACAAGATCCATGTAGCCAGCCCCAACAAGTTGGGACAAAGCTTTGTCGGTTGGGTATAGCAAACACAGTTCAGGTTAAGCTGAACAACAACTCGGAAAAATGGAAAACTGAGGAAATCAAATGTAAACTAAAAGCATGACCTCAACAAAAGACTACAAAGATAATTGCAAGAGATGCACATCAACAATCAGAGCACAGCCAAGAAGTGCGAGGCACCTAATATTAAGACAGTGTGAGCAAAACTAACAGCTCAGGTCATATTATCATTACAGTTACAGTAAATCCACTACTGAGTACAAATCCAAAACTAAACCTAAGATCAACATGCACACGAAAAAACACGAGTAGGGTTGAAAAATGTTGCTTACCTAACAGATGATCTTCCACCAGTGCCCTTGCGAACTAGATGTCCCACACCTTTGGTGGTAAGGGTAGATGTATACCTCGGACGATCAGCACTATAGCCTGCATTCATCAATTACAGGCACAAAAACCCAAAATTCAATAGATTTGAAAACCCTCTAAAATTGAGATCTATATAAACACATATATGATCTGTAGCCCCAGAAACATAAGAGAATGAGACGGATTACATTGATCAGAGAGTGGATAGATGGATTGGTGAGAGAAAATCGCAGGTGAAGGCTTCGAAAATTGGTGCCCTAATCGCTTCGAAACAGCCTGCATAATGCGTCTCCGTCGGAGTAAATACAGAAAGCTGCCGTCGGAGTAAATACAGAAAGCTGCCGTCGATTTGGGAACAAGAGTGCAGGTGGAGATTGTGAGAAGGATTTGGGTCTCTCCGACTACGAGTGCCCAAGTTTTGGTTGCAAAATAGTCAAAAAAAATATAAGTGTTAATTACAAAATGCCCCTTCAAATTTTGATCAAATTGCAATCAACTCCTTATGTTAATTTTAACAAACAATCTCCTCAAAGTTTGTACATTATTCAATTAACTCGAATTGTTGAAACTAAAATTAGAGGGAGTTGATTGAATGTGACCTAAACTTGAAAAGGACATTTTATAAAAACTTGGGGCCAAAAATTAAAAAAAAAAAAAACTACATAAATAACATCTAAATTTTATCATCTATATCAATTAAACGCTTGAATTAATTTTTATGTCAATTTAACCTCTCAATTTCTGTCCTTCTACCCAAATTCAGTGTTTAACTTTAATGGACCCCCTTACACGCATACCACGTATATGATTATGCTAATCCTTGACTCGCATGATGTACAAGTAAAGATTTTCTTCAAAATTAACAAAATTTTTGAACTAAAGTGTCACATTCAGTCATATTGCATACGTGAAGGACTAAATTGATATATGAAATAGTTTAGAAGCTAAATGAACATAAATGGCATAATTTAGAGGTCATTTGTGTAGTCAATCAAAAGTGAAAAACTTATACTCCATTCGGTAGGAATTCTAAAAGGTAAGAAGGATGGAAAAGTAGCAGAGATATATTTTTTATTTTATAAGGAAGGAAAGTAAGAATGATATACTCTATTTTCTTTGTGTTTGGTTAAATGAATGAAAAATAAAAATAATTAATTTTTTCTTTGTATTTGGTAAGATGGAAAATATATATATTTTTTATTTTTTAAAAAAGTATAAATAATTTTTTACCATTGTATTTATATATGAAATTAATATATACATAATATGTAATTGATAAATATAATATATATATATATATATCAAATGATATATCGACAAATAAGATACATTTCAACACACTTTTCTTTTAATTTTAGAGAGATTAATTTTAGTGAATTGAAATAAAAATTCATCTATCCACTTTTTCGTCCTTCCATATCAAACATAATATTTTATCTATTTCTTTAACTTTTCATCATTCTATTGCCAATTTTTGACCTTTTTAGTTTTACCACTTGTTTATAACTTTATTTCACTGTGTGTTTAGAACTTATTTTAAATTTTATTATTTTTTATATAAAAATATGGATTGAATCTAATTTTTGTAATGCAAAAAACACGTTTTTAAGATTTTTTATTTAAAAATTATTTTTCAAATAACCTTTCTACATTAAAATATGTGGGTTAAAACAATGATTTTATATAAATGACAATAAACAGAGAATTATATTTTAAATATATGTACAGATGGGGTCTATAATCAATTTAAATGACTTAGTGAATTAAATTAGTAAATTAGGTTAATAAATTAGATCCTAATACTATTACTCTAATAAAAAATTATACGTGTTATATTTCTATTAGTCTAAAAAATATTATATTAAAGAATTATCAAACCACTAATATAAAATTTCGAATAAGGTTTACCATTAGTTTAACTCTAAAATACCAAAAGTGCCCCTTAATATCTTTCATGTGCCAACCCACATAATATTTTCCATATGTAACTTTGAAGACTAAATTGATGAAATTAAAATTTTAGGGATTAAAGTTCAACCAATGGTAAACTTTAAGGACTATTGGTGCAATTTATCCCAAATGGACTGATCCATCGGGCCTGATCTGACCCGCTTAAATTCCGAATTTTCTTTCTCTCTCGGAAGGGCTCGATGGTAACTAGAATGGCGGCAGAGCAAGCACTATAAATTATTCCCAAGCTCGAATCCAAAGTCCGTTGGAAGAGAGAGGGAGAGCGATATGGAAGACGAAGCAGAGATATATGATGGAATCAGAGCTCAGTTCCCTATAACTTTCGGTAAGCAATCAAAATCCCAAACCCCTCTCGAAGTCATTCACAATGCCACTCGTCGCACCACCGCCACCGCACGGACAGTCGCTGACCGTCAGTCTGCATCATCTTCCCACTCCAGGAATGTCGAGAAAGACAAAGACTTCCCTTCTCTCTCTTCCTCCTCAAAATCCTGGCTAGAGTCCTTCAAAAACACTAACCCTAGTTCTCGCAATCCCCAAAATTCTAGTAACTCTGATAGCAATATTGGCGTGTTAATTGGACCAGCGCGTCCGTTACCGGACTCGAATTCGGCTGAGGATGCGATGATTGGTCCGCCTCGGCCCACGACTGTTAATGGGGAAGAGGAAGATGACGACGACGACGAGCGAATGATTGGGCCGCCTCGGCCGCCACCTGGTGCCGTTGGGTCGGATTCGGAAGAGGATTTAGATGAGGAAGAAGAGAATCGGTATCGGATACCTCTCAGTAATGAGATTGCGTTAAAGGGGCACACTAAGGTACCACTTTTCTTGGCATTTCTCTGTTGTCATCATGTTTTGCGTTTTGGTTAAATTACATGCACTCAGCAGAAATACTACAGGTAAATGAGGTTTCTTTTCTTAGTCTTTCTTGATATTTTGTGCGTGTGAAGTTGTTTCTGTAAATTCAGAGTAGGCAATTTACTATCGTCCGGATTTATTACTTTCTTGACGGAGTGAAAGCTATGGTTTTTACCATAGAATTGACCATATTCTCATAGAGTGCTGATTGTTCAGGCAATATCCATCTTAAATAGGATAAAAGACATTTATTGTATTTTGCTAAAATTAGCTTCAAAACGAATAGGTGGTAGAAATAATATTTGCAGAAGGATTCTTTAGAATGTTTTCAGATGAGGCCAACAACCCATATTTAATCACTCATTGTTATTGAACTTCTGTTATTATGCTTTTGGCAGGTTGTTTCTGCTCTTGCAATCGATCATTCGGGTTCTAGAGTTCTTTCTGGTAGCTATGACTACACAGTCCGTATGTATGACTTTCAAGGGATGAATGCTCGATTGCAGTCCTTTAGACAGCTTGAACCATGTGAAGGTCACCAAGTTCGCAGTCTAAGTTGGAGTCCTACCTCAGACCGATTTCTGTGTGTGACTGGCTCAGCCCAAGCTAAGGTACCCTTGCATACCGATTTTTGTGTTGTTTTTCTTAGAGGCTATAGTATATTTTCATTAAACTCACTTTTGCTTCTTTTTTTTCGGCAAATCAGATTTATGACCGTGATGGGCTTACTTTGGGAGAGTTTGTGAAAGGGGACATGTACATCCGTGATCTTAAGAATACCAAGGGCCACATATCTGGCTTGACTTGTGGAGAATGGCACCCTAAAACGAAGGAGACAATTTTAACGTCGTCTGAGGATGGTTCTCTGCGTCTATGGGATGTAAATGACTTTAAAAGTCAAAAGCAGGTTTGTGTTTTACATACACCTTACATTGTTGCATAGAGTCTTGCATTCTTAGAAATGTGATGCATGATAAGGCCCTAAATGGGAGCTCTTTATTTTTGAGGAATTTGACGATGCTCTGAATGAGAGCTAATGGATTCATTCATTCATATAATGGCTTCGGACTTCTTTTCCCTTTTATCAGTAAAAGATTAAGTTTAATGCTCATTCAGACAGCTAACAATATGGAAATTGCGGAGGTGCACAACAGTAGCATGAGTTGTGGTTAGGGAAGTGAATACTTTAGGCTATTTGACACTATTATTCTATTTACAGGTTATCAAACCAAAACTCATGAGGCCTGGAAGAGTTCCTGTTACTGCATGTGCTTGGGATCGTGAAGGAAAAAGTATTGCAGGTGGTATTGGAGATGGATCTATACAGGTACTGTTCGTGATGTCTTTATCTCATTTCCTAATTTTGATGTTGGTTTTGCAACTTCGTTTTCCTGTACTTGCTTCTCGAGTTGACATGCTTAATTGCTATTTTGAATTTTACAGATATGGAATCTTAAGCCTGGATGGGGAAGCATGCCTGATATTCACGTTGCCAAAGGTCACTCGGAGGACATCACTGCTCTTAAGTTTTCTGCTGATGGACGGATTTTACTTTCAAGAAGCTTTGATGGTTCACTGAAGGTAATAGTGCAGTTTAATGCAGCCTATTGTCTACTATCTTCATACACGCGTATCTGTTATGGTTGTTGTCACATTCTTTACTTCTGGTTACTTAATGAAAGTTTGATAGGTCTGGGATTTGCGCCAAATGAAGGAGCCTCTTCAAGTATTTGAGGATCTTCCAACCAATTATGCTCAAACAAACATTGCATTTAGTCCCGATGAGCAACTCTTCTTGACAGGAACATCTGTTGAAAAGGATAGCACAATTGGGGGTTTGCTATGCATTTATGATCGAGTGAAACTTGAACTCGTATCAAGAATCGGAATATCTCCTACTTGTAGCGTTGTGCAGTGTGCTTGGCATCCAAAGCTGAATCAGGTTATACCAGATGTTACATTCTTGTTTTGTCTGACATTTTCACATATGTTGTCTTGGCTTGCATCCATTTTCTGTGTCCAATGAGCCAATAAAGACAATTCTGGTTTTAGTCAGAAATGTCTTGTTCTTAGGTTTCTTGGACAACATTAAAATAGGTGTAATAAACTTGAAAATACTGGACATCTTGTTTTTGCTTCTATTTGCCTATTGCACTTCATCCATATGCAAGTATATGAAGCCAGAGAGTACTCTTTCTGAACATGTCTTTCCTGGCTTTGATAGGTCTTTGCCACCGTAGGGGATAAAACCCAAGGAGGAACTCACGTACTATATGACCCAACCCTCAGTGAGAGAGGAGCTCTTGTTTGTGTTGCACGTGCACCGAGGAAAAGATCTGTTGATGATTTCCAAGCAGAACCTTTGATTCACAACCCTCATGCACTCCCGTTATTTAGAGATCAGCCAAGCCGTAAGCGTCAGCGCGATAAAATATTGAAGGACCCGCTCAAGTCTCACAAGCCTGAAGTTCCCATGACAGGGCCAGGCCATGGTGGAAGAGTCGGTACAACAAAAGGAAGCTTGTTGACCCAGTACCTTCTTAAGGTAATATCCATTACCTCTTTTTTGTATACAATAGAGGTAAAGCTGGCAGTAAGAGACTTTTATTTTGTGTGGTATTACAGCAAGGTGGCTTGATCAAGGAGACATGGAGGGAGGAAGATCCAAGAGAAGCTATTCTGAAGTATGCTGATGTTGCTTCAAAAGATCCAAAGTTCATTGCTCCAGCATATGCTCAAACGCAGCCTGAACCAGTCTTTGCCAAGTCGGATTCAGAAGATGAAGAAAAATAATCTGAAAATATACGAGTGCCTACTTTGGCTATTCAGTGCTACAATTTTTTTTTTGTATGTATTTGCTTGTGTGGAATTGCTGCTTCTTGGTATTAATCGTAATGGTTCTTTTTATTTACCCCTTGCAGATAGGGTATCAAGTTGTAGAACTTGGTTTTGCACTTTTACATCTGCTCTCAATGTATCACGATACCGTAAATTTACATGTGTTCAGCAAATGATTTTTGGATAGCTTTCTTTTTTTTCAACTGTGAAGGGGGAGGGGCAACATTATTATACTGACCAAGTTTTTTATCCGAGTAATGTGACATAGTTTTTACCGTCAAATAAGTAAGTTTTATTAATATTCAACGATGAAGATTGTGTAATTATTTGGAATGAAAAACTTAGTAAAAAAGTTGGAAAAACATTACATTATTGGGAGGAAGGACAACTAAGAGATAGTAATCTCTTAATTGTGATCACGAGGGTCTTGTCCCCTAGTGGAATATTTAGTTTGAAATATAGCTATTAATTCGAAAGGACAGTTCATCAACACAATACCATCAAACTCAAGTAACAAATCATATTATTCTCATGACTCAAATTCTATTTAATAATCTCATGATCATCCGTTCGGATCTGGAATTGGTTCAATTTATCACTAAATCATCCGTTCGGATGGTATTTTTGGATAGCTTGACTGATGCCAATTAACATAGTAGGTCTCTTACCTTGAAAAGTCTGTTCCAAGCTTGTCTTTTCCCAATTCCTCCATAGTCATGTCGGTCTATGTTATGCAATTTCCTTGTTTGGCAAGATAAGTAAAAAATATTAATGTTATGATTGCTATAATAAAAAAATTAAAAATTAAAAATTAAAAAAATGAAAAATTAAAGGAATACATAAAATATTATGTTTGATAAAGAAAAAAAATATGAAATATAAAAAAAATGGATGAGTGAACTTTCCTTCGAACTCATCAAAGTCAATTTCTTCAAAATTAAATGAAAAGTTAATTATTTGTTTTAATATTTATCTTATTTGTCTATATATATATATATATATATATATTATGTATATTTAATTTTATATATAAATACAATGATAAAATATGTATTTATTTTTTTTAAAAAATTAAAAAATAAAAATAATATTTTTTCCATCTTACCTAGCACAAAAAAAATTTAATTATTTTTATTTTTCATCTATTCTACCAAACACAGAAAAGAAAGTGTATAATTCTTACTTTCCTTCCTTGAAAGATAAAAAGTGTATCCCTCCTACTTTTCATCTCTCCCACTTTTCATCCCTCTTACTTTCCATCCTTCCTGATGAGCCCAAATTTAACCAGGCCAGAACCAATAAATCTGGCAAGTCCAAGTCAACTAAAAAGCAGGTCAAGCCCAATTCTCAAATCTGGCTCAGCCCAAGTTCCAAGGAGTGCAAGAAGAATTAGAGCACATGGAGAGCAATTATCGGAATACTCTCTCTCGAAAATCAAGACAACCTTTTATGGCAATTACCTTTTGTAGCACCGAGAGAATTAGTACATTTGCCCTCAAGTCGCCGCCTTAACCAAGACCCTATACCTATAATTTGTAAGTCATCTCTATATGAGAGAACACATTGAGCTCTATCTCTTGAGATCTCTCTACACACCCCACACATTGCTTTTCCCTCTCCTATCTATTGTATCCCTCTCAGAGCTAATCATTACTTTCTCTCTCGTTTATCTTACTTTATTAATAAAAACCCCTAACCACCGTTGTCGTTTCCTAGAGTGGAGTAGATCGCCTGAACTGAACCATTATATATCTGTGTATTGACTCAATATATTTACATTACTGTCATTGATTGTTTTATTAATTGTTCATTAATTACACTCTGTCACACACTCGACTGTTGATCTTGCACGAGATTATTTTGTACATCATCAGTTTGATGTCGTCTATGGAAAATGACAAAGTTTTCTACTACCTTGCTACTCTATGGCAATCACGACCAAGTCGATGAGTCAACAATCGGGAGACAATAATTCCACCCCCTGGGAGGAGGCTCTGCCTCCCCTCGCACCCTCGGAACCATCCGCTACGACGACTCCCATGGTCGAGCAACAACTTTTATAGACCATGCAGCTGCTGGTAAACCAAAATCAGCAAATCATTCAGTTGATGCTCGCCTAGGGAGGCATCACCCCTCAGCTTGTAGGAGGAGCACCACTCCCTTTAACAAGAAAAGCACCGCAACCTCTTCACTCTGGGCGTCAACCCGGCCCCCACCGTGGAGCCTCGCACTAGAATGCCCCCGGATAACACTTGGGCGCCCTTCGCCCAGGAATTCCTCCTAAGCGCATAGGAAGCTTACATGTTCCCCTTTCTCATGTACTTGCGCAGGAGAACAATGGAGAAATTCAGTATGCCAATCATGAAAGTCATTACAACAATCCGATGGAGGATGTCCCCAACCAATGGGATGAGAAGATCAGAAAGGTGCAAAATCAACTTGGTGATGCCCTCAACGCCATCAAGACACAGACGCCTGATATCCCGTTCGTTGCAGATATTGTTAATTACCCTTACTCTCAAAGTTCAAGATGTCTGTCATCAAGATCTTCGACGGTACCAAAGGCCCTCTAGATCATCTTGACACCTATAAGTCTCTAACGCAACTCCATAACGTGCCTAATGAGATCATGAGTAGAGTCATCCCCACCACTTCGAAGGGGTTTGCTCGACAATGGTTTGCGAAGATCAAACCTTCATCTATCCACTCTTTCACAGAGTTGAGTAAAACTTTTGTCTCCCACTTTATTGGGGGACGTCGACATCAGAAGTCTGTTACCTACCTGCTCACTATCAAGCATGACCGGGATGAAAGCCTTATGAGCTACCTCACTCGTTTCAATGAAGAAGCTCTCCAGATCAAGGAGTCAAACGATAAGGTAGTCTTGGCCACCTTTATTGCTTGTCTGTGCTCCTCTGACTTCATGTTCTCTAACCTCCCTCCAGCATGCCCGAGTTGCTGTCAAAGGCACAGAAGTACATGAATGTCGAGGGCATCACCAAGACCCATCAAGGTGAGTTCTATCGAGGAGATGAGTCCTTCTGAAAAAGGGAAAAAAGAAAGGACACCCGCGAAGACAAACGGGAGGTGGAGAACAAGAGAAAGAGAACTGAGAGAGTCTCTATCAAGGACCATCTCGGTCTCGTACCCTCAAGAAAATGACAGCCTTTCACACCACTCAATGCCTCAGTGCAACACATCCTATTCTAGATATGGGATGACCCCATGCTACGCTAGCCCGAAAAAATGAAGTCCGACCCAAACCGCATAAATCCTAGCAAGTATTGTCGCTTCCACCACGACACTAACGACTGCTTTCAATTAAAGAGGCAGATTGAGGAGCTTATTTAGCGTGACCAGCTGAGGCAGTACGTTGCTGGACGAGGACGGACTCCACCACTCGAACGAAATCAGGAGGATTGAGAGCGCCAGTAACCTCTCGCAGAGATCCAGACTATCGCCAGAGGGTTAGGAGGAGGAGGTGACTCCAACTCCGACAAAAAAGTGCACACCAGGAAAGCCAGACAGGCAAAGTCACATGACTCTCGCCTAACGAAGACACCCTAGCACGAGAAGGAAGAGGTCATCATCTTTTTAGACAGAGACCTCGAGGGAATCCAAGTCAATCATGATGATCCTCTAGTCTTAACCCTGATAGTAGCCAACTACCAAGTTAAGAGGATCCTGGTTGACAGCGACAGCTCAGTTGATATTCTGTTTGCACTAGCCTTTGACAGCCTTCATTTCGACAGGGAGAGATTGCAACCCATCAGGACTCCCCTTGTTGGTTTCTCGGGAGAAAGGATTTATCCCTTGGGTTTCATCCCTTGTCGGTCACAGCACCGAGGAGTTCCACCATCACGGTAAATTTAATTATACTTGATTACCCATCCGCCTATAATATTATTCTGGGACGCTCTGCCCTTAACACCTTAAGGGCGGTGCCATCCACCTACCACCTTCTCCTCCGTTTTTTAATCACTAGTGGGATTGGAGAGATCATAGGAGACCAGGTCTCTGCCCGAGAGTGCTCCCAAGGGATGACAACACCTTGGAGAAAGGGGAACCAGCAGAAGAACTTTGACCAATAATGGTGGACGAAAACCTTCCAGAAAAGAGAATCTATATAGGCTCCTCACTTTCCTATGAACAAGCCTTCAACCTGGTAGACTTCCTCAAGCAGAACATGGATGTCTTCGCCTAGTCACATGAAGACCTAGAGAGCATCGACCCTGAAGTGGCCTCCCACCAACTCAACGTCGATCCTAGATACAAACTCGTCCACCAGAAGTTGAGGAATGTATGTACGGAGAAAGTTCAAGCCATGGAAAAGGAAATAGAAAAGCTATTGAAAAATGGATCAGTAAGGGAGGTAGCCTACCAGGACTGACTATCCAACATAGTGCTGGTTACAAAGGCCAATGGAAAGTGGCATCTCTGCGTGAACTTCACAGAACTCAACAAATCATGTCCCAAGAATAGTTATCATCTCCCACGCATCGATCTCCTCATTGACGCCACCGCGAGACATGAGCTCCTAAGTTTTTGGATGCTTACTTCGGGTACAATCAGATCAGTATGTTCCCTCCAAATCAGAAAAAAAAATTATTCATTACCCCGAAGGGCACCTACTACTGCAGGGTGATGCCTTTCGGACTTAAGACCGCCAAAGCCACATATCAACGTCTCGTGAACAAGATGTTTAAGGCTCAAATCGGGAAGACTATGGAGGTCTAGGTAGACGATATGTTGGTGAAGAGTATGATTGCGACAGACCATGTGACACACGTTCAAGAAACCTTTGATGTACTAGGAGCCTACAGGATGAAGCTGAATCCTAAAAGTGCGCCTTTGACGTCAGTTCAGAAAAATTCTTAAGCTTCATGGTCAACAAAAGGGGCATTGAAGCCAGCCCAGTCAAGATCAGGGTCATCTTGGAGATAAAGTCCCCAGCCTCGATAAAGGAGGTTCAGTGCCTTAACGGGCGGATAGCGGCTCCCAACAGGTTTGCCTTGAAATCAAATGATAAGTGCCTGCCTTTCTTTAAAATTCTTATTAGGTTTTTTCAGTGGGGACCAGATGCAAAGGAAGTCTTCTAGAAGCTCAAGGCCTACCTTGTCACACCACTTTTACTCTCTCATGTTGTACCAGAAGAGACCCTGTATCTCTACCTCTCCTTTTCACCCTCTGTCGTGAACTCTGTCCTTGTCTGGGACGATGGAGGCATCCAGAAGCCTGTGTACTATGTAAGCAGGGCATACCGATGAGCAAATGTAAGGTACTCGGAGCTTGAAATGTTGGCTTTCGCACTTGCTATCGCTGCCAGGCATCTATGCCACTACTTTTAGAGCCACACCATCATGGTTATTACAAATCAATCACTCAAAAGAATTCTGTGAAAGTCTGATGTGTCCAGTCGACTACTCAAGTGGTCCGTCGAGTTAAGTGAATTTGATATACAGTACCAGCCGAGTGCGGCCATCAAAGCGCAAGCACTTGCAGACTTCATTACCCAGTCTACACTGCCACATGAGTCTTGAGATTCTACGCCGCCACAGGAGTCTCGGGAGTATACCACACCATAGGAATCTCAGGAGGAAGTATCATGCGCCCCTGTGACCACCTGTTCAATACATACTGCCTCCACCTACCATGAGGTTAGCCCAGACACTACCCCAAGAGGGGCTTGACGTCTCGAAGACAACTCCACAGGCCCCGAGAAGCCACACTCTGAGACTAGAGGCGCCTGACTCCGTTGTGCATACTCCACCTGAACCCTCCGCGCTCTCGCTACCGTCTACTGTACTAGGCTGGAGACTCTACGTGGATGGGTCCTCTACCAGTGAGGGCAACGATGCAAGACTAGTGTTGATCAGCCCCCATGAAACTCTACTGAAGTACACCGTCTCCCTCCACTTTGCTACATCAAACAACCAAGCTAAATATGAGGCCCTCGTATTAGGCTTGAAGCTTACGTTGGAGATGGAGGCCCTCTGCCTGACAACCTACAGTGATTCCCAGTTGATAGTTAATCAGGTAAAGAGAGACTTTGAAGCAAAGGAGGAAAGGATTCAAGAATACCCGTTAATGGCCCAAGCTTTGTTAAAAAGGTTTACCTACTTCCAAATTCACCATGCTCCCCGAGAGGAGAACGTCATAGCAGACGTCCTCTCCAAATTCGTGTCTGTCATCATACTCATGGGCCCAACACTGACAAGCCACCAGTTCAAGCCAAGCACCTTCAAGACAAAGGAGGACGATGTTAATTGTACATCCTCGAAAGCCAACTGGATGACTCTTATCCAAGCCTACCTAGAGGAGGGCACTCTCCTTGAGAATCCAATGAAATCCAAAAAGTTGAGGATGAGAGTGTCCAAGTATGTCATCTTACGCAACACACTCTACAAAAAGAGTTACTCACTACCACTTCTCCGCTATCTTATCCCCGAGGAAGCCAATTACTCTACGAGGTAAATCTATGATGAGATATGTGGAAATCATTCGGGAAGGCATGCACTAGTCTACAAAAATAGTGAGGCAAGGTTATTATTAGTCTAGCCTAATCAGAGACGCTCGAGAGTTCATCAAGAGTGCGATAAGTGTCAACGCTTCGCGACTGTACCTAGATAGCCACCTGAAGAGCTTACCCCCATTTAGAGCCTACCCTTCACCATGTGGGAGATTGACATCCTAGGTCTCCTATGTGTGAGTTAAGGTCAATGCAAGTTCGTAGTGATAGTCATTGACTACTTTACTAAGTGGGCAGAAGCTGAGACCTTGACCAGGATAACAGACCAGAAGGTGAAAGACTTCATATAGAGGAATAAAGTTTGCCACTTCGGAATACCTCACGCCATTGTGAGTAACAATGCCAAGCAGTTTAACAACAGACTCCTTAACAGCTTTTATGCCAACCTACGGATCAAGTAGCCCCACCCATCCATAGGCAAACAGAGGTCAATGTCAGGACAATCCTCCTCAATTCGAAAATCAAATTGGAGAGTGCGAAAAGACGATGGGTAAATAAAATCTCGGGAGTGCTGTGGGCTAACCATACGACACCAAGGAGCCCCATAGGCGAGACCCCTTTTTTTTCTAGCCTACGGGATAGAGGCAGTCATATCCGTTGAGATTGAGATACACTCTTTAGGGTCCAGCACCATGACCCTATCAGTAATGAAAAAGGCCTTCGCATCAACCTCAACTTGGTAAAGGAGGAGAGGGATATAGCTATGCTCAAGAATGCAGAGTACAAACGTCGCATGACCAAGTACTACAACTCGAGGGTGAAGCCCCGTTCTTTCTTGCTCGGGGACCTAGTTCTCAAAAAGGTCATCCTGTCTACCAAAAACTCCTGGGAAGGGAAACTAGGACCTAATTGGGAAGGACCTTAAACGGTCATAGAAGTTAAAAGACTGGGCACCTACAAAATTTAGAATTTCGAGGAGAAAATTCCGGCCCATCCATGAAAAGCAGAGCACCTAAAAAAATATTACCAGTAGTTGGGGGCAAGACAGTGAGTGTATAAGTCAGTAATCACCATTTAGATTATCTATTTTTATTTTGGTTAATTTTCCTTAATATTTACTTCGAATTATGAAATAAAATTTCGCAAGACTTTTTCAAAAAGTTGTATCTTATAGAAGTTCATAAAACATTTATAAAAGATAGAACATGACCTAGCAACAAAAACATAAATACAAAGATATCATGCTCCTGACGTCACTCACTGTCTCTCGATCCGCTCCCATCATCGCTTGTCTTCTCGTCATCAGTCCCTGGAGCCTCATAGGGGACTAAGCCAAGAAAATCATAAGCCGAAAAAGCTACTAAGATCTTCCTCTTGAGCTCCTCATAGTCATCAATAAAGGCGCCTGCCACGACCCTCTTAACAACATCCCTCTTCTTCTCCAGCTCCATGGAGTAAGCCTTCGCCCTGGTAGCTCTCTCAAGAGCTGATCGAAGGTCAGCCTCTACTACAGCAACCCTCTCACGGGACGCTCGCAGCTCTGTCTCTACTCTCACGCAAGTTGTCTCTAGCTAGGCGGCCCTCTTGCGGGATGCCTGAAGCTTGATCTCAAGTATGGAAGCTCTCTCGTGTGCTAGCCTCGACTACTCCTCGGTAGCCTCTCGAGCCCTAGCTGCTCCTCAATAACCCTCCGTGCCTGGCTCTCCACTACTTGACCATCGAGTGCCTCTCTAAGCTTCAACGTGCTTGAAAATAAGCAAGGAAAGACAGAAGTCACCTACATGTATCCAAAAGCCAGAACATAAAAGAAGGAAGCCAAGTACAAGATCAGAGATGAATTAAGGGCATCCCAAAGCAAAACCCTTCATCCCTGTGTCGATGACGCCCCCGAACCTCAAGAACCAACCTCCTAGATCTCCATGGTGGTCACAAACCCCCACAATTATTCCTTGGCCAGATTCACATCCTACAGCATGGACACCAAATCATTGCTAGAAGCAGGACGGCCAGACAGATCCCCCGTCCTCGTAGGAGACCGCACTAAAGCCTCGATCCCGACGGTCATACTAGGATAAACTCTGGAAGGCAATGGCAGCACAGTAGGGGAAAGAGTGGGGGCATCATCAAGTCCTGCCTCCCAGGGACTATCCTGGTCGATAGACCTCAGCCGAGAAATAACAGGGGCAATAGACCTCACCCTCTTAGATGAAGGAGGGAAAGACATCACCCTAGAAGCGTAAGACAACCTCCATCATCGCCCTATTAATAGAAGTACTTGCAAACTTAGTGTGAGACAAAAACTTACAATGTAATAACCATCAGGAGTTTATTGGAAGGATCAGGTACCTTTTCTCTTCGATCGATGAGAAGCCTTGGGACAACCTGACGTTGACATAATCTCTGAAAACTCCTTGAAAAGATGGTCAAGAACTATCTGGAGCCTACTCTCCAGCTTCACATATATTGTCGTGAAACTACATTGAAATCAATCAGACAGTGAGAACAGATATGTAATGATAGGAAGTAAAGATAAAAGTGGAATCCTTACCTAACTTGGTCCTCAGAACGGTGTCCCTCCTCGAAGGCACTAGGTCGCAATCTCCCTTGGTGGCCCACTCGCCTCCAACAAAGAAGAACTTAGACTTTCAACTATGACAGTTTGAAGGAAGCCCAATGATGAACTTGTATGACCTCGGGGCAAAACGACACCACCCTTGATGAGAAAAGGGGTTATCTAAAAGCACATACATGGCCAAGAACTCCTCGAATAAGGGAGGGACGTCAACATTGTGAACTAGCCGCCATAATGAGAAGAATGACAATATCACCCTCCACCCATTGGGAGCCAACCTCCTGGGAGCCAGTGACAGGTGCCCCAGAATTCGACAGATAGGGTCGGGTATTGAAAACCTCAAACCCGTCTCCAGGGCATCCTCATAGAGAATAATCTCACCCAAAGTGTCACAACATATTGGCTCGTCCTCCTCCGTCCGACGACACAAGACAGCAGGAGGGATACGGTATGAAGACACAATACAGACGACATTATCATTGCAATCAATGGAGCTAAATATGGAGGTCACCTTTGAGCCATTATCTCTAACAGTCCCCTTGCCTCGTTCAATGATGTCTCGAGTAGCCTCCCCTATAAGGCACTTGTCAGAGTGGGTGTCTGGCAACAAACAAAACCAAGACGTAATCAAACTCAATGTCAAGGGAATACTAGTGTCTCTTGGACTCTTGTGGAGTCTAGCTATGTTTGAATCCAGCTACGTCCATGTTGCGCTTCGACTGAATTTTAGGGATCGACCTATTGGAGGCTCAGTGGCAGCGCCCTCAAAACCTAAATAATTTTCTAAATCACATACTAGGGGTATGTCATGAAAACTATAAAGAAAAAGTTCATAATGTATGCCACAAAGTTTAGAAGAACATCTTACCTGTTTGAAGAACAAGTACGCCCGAGCCTACACCGGCGTCGACTATCTGGTACCCATCGCCTTTGCTTGCGCCATCGAGACCGCTAGCCTCCCCGATCACTTCGGCATCACCCTCCTCCCTATTGATCTCGCCTAGGGCGTTAGCCCCAACTCCAATTGCTTCACCTCTCACAAGCCATCTGGCACTGCCTCCCACAGGCCACTAGCGCCACCTCTCACAAGCCCAATAACATCGCCCATTTGGAGCACAACGGCGCCACCTCTGCTTCCTCTCTTTACCACTTTGGCGCCATAACCACTCTCTCCTGATTTGGCACTAAAGTCCAAGCCCAAAGTGCTAGGGCCAGTACCCAGCTCGACTAGGCTAAGCCCGGCTAATAAGGCGTCGTCAGGGCCAGCCTTGTATCCCCCCTATGGCATCAACAATGGTGCGACCTCTCCTTTCATCTAAACTACGGCTAAAGGTGTCGCCCATGGATCTGGTGCCGCCCAGTGATTCATTAGCATCGCCTAGCACCTGAGTCTGTGTGTCACTGGCTGTCAAGGACACTTTAGCGTCGATCTCCACTCTGACAGGACCTTTGCTCACCCCTCCTCTGAATTCGACGTCATGAGCCACCTTGGAGAGGGCGTCGCCCAATGCCTAGGTTGATGTGCCAAACCACAGGGCCTCTTCGCTTGCTCCAATGGTGTCACCCACTCCTGCTCTGCCTTGAACAACCCCTTTCATCTCCATTAAGGAATCTCATCCTGGGACACCGTCTGATTGAAGACCTCTCCACCAAATCCCTCCTCACCTTCAATGAAAATTTGCAATTTTAAAGGGAAGAATGAAGAAAAAGGGGTTTTCAAGATTTTTGGGTTTTGGGTATAGGGAAGATATTCTAGGAAGGCTTGTAAAGTCCTAAAACATGGAGCCTAGGTGAAAGAAGGATTTTAAAGTTAAACGGAGATCAAACACAGAAAGCGATCGACATTGCAATGGTGACACAAGATAAGGAAATAATTTTTGCAGACAAAAATGGGGAAGCCAAAGAAATTACTACCATGAAGAGCAAGAAACCCCCCATCTATCCAAGTAAAGAAGACACTCATGCCCTCAACTCCCTTCTCTCGCAAACAATTTGAGGCTTGGGGCATTTGGGCAAATGATGAGCCCAAATCTAACCAGGTCTGGCCCAATAAATCCAGCAAGCCCAAGTCAACTAAAAGGCAAGTCAAGCCAAGTTCGCAAATCTGGCACAACCCTAGTTCCAAGGAGTCCAAGAAGAATTAGAGCAAATGGGAAGCAATTATCGGGATACTCCCTCTTGAAGATCAAGACAACATTTTATGGCAATTACCTTTTGTAGACACCCAGAGAATTAGTATCTTTGCCCTCAAGTTACCGCTTTAACCAAGACCATATGCCTATAAATTGTAAGTCCTCTTATATAGAGAGAATACATTGAACTCTACCTCTTGAGATCTCTGTACATACTCCACGCATAAATTTTGTGTCTCCTAACTATTGTATCCTTCAAGGGGCTAACCATTACTCTCTCTCTCTCTCTCTCTCTCTCTCTCTCTCTCATTCTCTCTTGTTCACCTTATTTAATCAATAAAAGGTCTCTCCGCCACCGTTGTCATTTTTTGGAATGGAGTAGATCACCGGATCAAACCACTATATATCTGCGTGTTGACCAAATATTTACATTATTGTTATTGATTACTTTATTAATTGTCTATTAATTACACTTTATTACACATTTGATTGTTAATCTTGCGTAAGACTATTTTGTGTATCATCAATTCTTACCAAACGGAGCATTAAAATAAGCCAAATGGAATAGGTGCCAATGAATTGCTGGTTGGCTAGAAGTTTCTGGATAATAGTTTTGTTTTGATATATTTGGACTTATTGCCAAGTAAACTGGAGGCCAAAGACATTTTGGGCCGTAAGTAAAAATAATACATGAAGCTTTTTTTAATGTTAATAATAAATTTATTTTTTATTTTTTAAAATATAAAAATATTAATTAAATTTTTATATACAAGCTTTTATTATTATGGTTGAACTTGATAGTAAGAAAGAGAGAGGGGGACAGAGAATAATTAAAAAATTATAATTATAAATTTGAATTTGACTTTTTTAGGGAGTTAAGACTTTATTTTTAGTAGTTTTAGTTTTACTATTAATTTTTTTCTTTTTATTTTTAAAAAGTTGAATTTTAGGGGCTCTTAATTTCATAGGTTAAATTAAAAGACTCAATCCGCTCGAGTTGAAATATTTGGTTTGAGTTTAAATTTAAGTTTTTTGTGGGACTTATTTATTATGAATTTAAATTTTTTATTTGAACTATTATTGCATATCTAAAAATTATGAGATCTTTCTTAAAAAAAACCTTAAACCTAGAATTTATTAATCTAGTGGTTTTTTTTTTTTGGGTCAGATATTGCTCTAGTGGTTGGACTATTCTGAGTCACGAAATGGTCTGACACATCATGTTTGTACTTTGTTTGAATTTACATAAAAAATATTATAAAACATGGAATGCTTGAACTCAATTGATATATATATATATATATATATATATATATATATATATATATATATATATATATATATATATATATATATACTAGTTATTGTCTATATTTGAAGGCACAGAGTAATAAAAAAAAATCAATAATAAATATATTTGTATTCACATCTAAAATCAAATCACAAACATAGATGAGAGATAAATAAATTTAAGTATCGATTGTAATGGGGATGAGGGATGGAGGACGACAGTAGTGGTGATAGAAGACGGTAATAGTTGTGGTAGGTGGCAATGATTGTGGTAGCGGTGGTAGTCGTGAGTGGCAACGATGATGATAGTAGTGGTAGACATAGATGACGATAATGGTAGTGGTGGGCGACGGTGTTGGTTATTGCTAGTTGTGGTGGTAGACAGTGACGATAGTTGTGGTGGGCGATGACGAATTCTTCTAAGTGACAATATGACGGGTGGTGGCGAATGACGGTGGTGGTAGGTGTGGTGGGGGTGGGTAACAGTGGGTGGCGACAGTGATAAGTGATGAAGGGTGGTGGTGGGTGATAATGGTTATTGACGATGGGTGGTGGCGGGTGGCGACGATAGTAGTGAAATGATGGTAGTAGTGGTAATAAATATAAGAATGAGATGATGATGATAATGGGTGGTAACGGTGGTGGTAGTGGTGGCGGTGGGGTAATGGTGGGGTTAGCGACAACGATGGTGATAGTTGTGATGGTTGTGGGGTTGTGGGGGTGGTGGTGGTGGTGTAGTGGTAGGGATGATTGTTGTGGGACAACAGGGGGTGATGATGGTGGTGGGGTGGCGGTAATAGGTATGGTGTGGTGGTAGTAGGGTTGGTGGTGGTGGGGCGGTGGTAATTGTTGTGGCAAGTTTGCAGTTGTGGTAGTGGTAGTGGTAGTAGGGTGGAAGGACCGGTGGTAGTGGTAGTGGTGATAGTGGTGGTGACAGTGTCGAAGGTGGTGGTGGTGGTGGTTATTGTTGTAGAGGTGGTGGTGGTGGTGGTGTGGTGGGATGGTAGTGGGGCGGTTTCAAACACTATTTTTTTTTTGTTTAAAGTAGTTTTAAGAAATTATAAGTTTTTAAAAATACTTTTAAAAAGTCACTCAAATACACCCTTAGTGATATATTTTTTCTATTAAATTTGAGGTGTTAATATTAGCCGTCGGATTAATTTTAAAATAAAATTTAAAGAGATCTGAATCGTGAAAAATAAAAATTATTTTGTTTATTTTTGAAATTTGAATTCTATTAAATTATATATATATATATGTTGTCGTCATTTGTGGAATTGACACCTTTGTTCACGTGGTAAATTTCGTTGTATTGCTTATGAATCTGTGGTGGTTGAAGTTTTACTCCAATAATTCTTTGTTTCAATGGTTGTCCATAAGATTTGAAATGGACTGTCAAATGGTAATCTGCTAGAAAAGGTGGGATTTCAAATAATATCGATTGCTTACGAAGCAAGCCACTTGAAGCTTGACCAATTTGTTGTTAGTCTCCAGTGCGCTATTCTTGATGATAACTGGTTCCGTACGGTAAAGCAAGAATACATTTACATACACTTGCTCAAGCCTTTTGATCTTGAACAAATAAACATATAAAATTAAATTAAAAAATGCAAACCGAAATTGCAGGTCATAATAGCCCACTAGTAATGTACGTGTGCCAACTAGTATTAATGAAATGTGAGGATGGGAGTTTGGGGTCCATGTTTAAAATACCTATAATATCCTTCTTCTCTTTTTATCTTAATTGCTCATAATTATATATTATACTCATAATTTATCTCTTAATAACTCTCATGTCTCTCTCACTCCCCTCTAATCTCAAACCCATGCAGGAAGACCAGTTATTGAAAAATGGAGATGGTGGTGGATTTTAGTATTCACCCCCCAAAATGTCTATAGTAACCTTCATTTTTTTTCATTCTAATCACACATAACTTTCTTTTTAATGGATGCATTTAACCTCCCATAAAAACCTTAAATTTCTGTGGGCTTGCAAGGTTGATCAGAACTCTAATAGGGGTCCGGTTTGGACAGGTTGGCCGGGTTGAGAGCTTAATTCAAGTCCAACCCAAAAATTATGGGTTTGTATCTCTTAAATTATTTTTTGTTTTTGAAAATAGTTTTTAGGAGAAAAGTTATTTGACTTGACCAATTATTTTTTTATATTTTCAAAACTAAGAATAAAAATTAAATAGATTTAGAGAACAAGTTAGAACTATTTTTGTGTGTTTTTAAAAACAACACTTTCAAAATTTAGAAAATATTTCCACCACCACTACCACCATATTTCCACCACCACCACGTCCGCCATATTTCCACCATCACACTTCCATCACCAACACCACATCCACACTTTCACCATCACCACCACATTCACTTCCACCACTACATTTCTAATTTCATTATTTTTTTGGTTACTATCCAAACAATTTTTAATATTTTCTATTTTGTATAACTGTTTTTGGAATCATATAACAAATACGTTTTGCGACACAAAAAATACTAAAAATAGTTTTCTAAAACTCTCAATAAAAATTGTGTTTTTTGAGACGCAAAATCAGACAGGATCAAAACTCTCAATATAACCACAACCCAAGCCCAACCTTAACCCAAAATATCTCAAACCGAGTATTATCCATCTAAACTCAAGTTAAACTCAAATTATTAAATCAAATTTAAAATTCAAATTAAATTTATTTTTTAAATATTAACACCTTTAACTCTTCTATTGAGCTCACATAGACCTGATGGAAAATCAAGCTCATTAATGACGCTAACCTCTTTGAGATTGTCTTCTATATATATAAGAGTAGGAAGAGACTACTTGTTTTCAATTGATATAAAATTTTAACTTAGACGTCTTCTTTTACTTTGATACAACATCCCAAATCGGTTCAATAAGGGGTTGTTTGGTATGTAGATTTGGGGGGGTTTGAGAATATGGGTTGGGGAGTAAACTCCCTTAAATCCATGCTTAACAACCATGAAGTATGAATAGAATTTTAAATTCGGCCCGATCATGGCCTGATCATGAAACTCACATACTTGGGTTTCATGAAACCCAAGGGAGGGTGGGTTTCATTTGTGGGTTTGAGGGTTTAACATACAAATGACATTTATACATCTATATATCCTATATACCTCATATATACAAATTGATTAAGAAGCACAATAATCATTTATACACAAAATATATTATCATAATAGTCATATATTTCTGCGTATATCAAACATGGGTATAGACAGCATTAAATTTTGAATTCCATTTTTAGGTCAAACCAGGGTTTGAACAATCTAATCCAAATTCTTTCCAAAAAACATATCAAACAGGTCCTAAGAAACCACAACCTTTGGTACTATAAAATTTTCCCAATGAGTGCATGTAACACATTTAATTTTATTGTGCGACACTTTTATAAAAATAATTTTTAATATTTAAATAATAATAAATATATTTTACGAATTTAAATTAAACTCAATTTTATTTAGTCGGGTCGGATTCAAATAAAACCCGTAAATCTAAAACTTCAACTCGAGGACAAGCTGAATTCAATTCAGACGGAAGACTTTTTAACCTAGCCGACTTAAAGTTTTGGAAGACTCAACCCTTCCTTCACAACCGCGTGGTGAGTCCGAGTCCGACACGGTGCAACTGGCGAGCGAGTCATAGGACATGACCTAATTTTTCATATATGAGAAGTTTTTGCTTCACAGAGACCCAGACTCAGTGCTGTACCTCCCTTCCATTTCAGGAACTGGGTTTCGCACTCAACGACCCCCCAATCCCGATCTCTCTCTCTCTCTCTCTCTCTCCAATTTCACTACTTGCAGTCATTTTCTCTCATATCCTTACCGAGCCTAGCATGCACAACCACAATCAACAGCAGCAATCATTTGCTCTTCATCATCCCAAAGTCCCAGAATTCCCATATAATCGGAATCAAGCAGAAAGGTCATCGTTTACTCGACAATTTTCGGAGGGAAATCGTGTCAGAGCGACAAGCCACGGGAGAATTCTCTTTTGGATATAACTTGCAAGCCCATAACTTGTAATCTTCCTTTAAACTCTTTTGCTTTTTGGGTTGGATTTGTTCAGAATTGTATTTTTTTTTCTTATGGTTGTCAATTTTTTGGAAAGATTATCAGAGTGAGAAAGCCCAATTTGATGAAAAACGCAAGAATTTTCTTGCGCAGTTTCTTGAAAATCATAGTTTTCGATTGATGATGGATGATCCAAAGACCGTGGTGCTCGATATAAGCTCGGATGAAGAGGTGGGTTGGGGTGAGACTAGAGGGGGTTGTGATAGTGCTGGTGATGTTGACTATGATTGGATATCAGAACTTTTTGATGGAGTTGACAAAAAAACTGAGGACTCTGATGATGTGGTGGTGGTGGGTGAGATGGTGCTGAACCCAAAGCAGAGATTGAAGTCTTCGGGTGTTGTTGCGGGGTCTATAGCCAAAGATGAGGACGATGATTGTGTGGTTTTGGATGGTGATCCTGATAAACCAATGGCAATAGAGAACGATTCGGGGGCTGATTCGGATGATTTGCTCGTTGTTAGTGAGAAGGGTCAGGTATTGTTGGAAATTCATATGCTTTTGTGTAATTGTTTTTATCAAGTTCAGTTTCGTAGGTATGCAGATTTATGTTTGGCATTATATCAGTTTGGTTTGTTTGGTACCTTGATACACGCTTGGTTTAAGTTTGATTGTTTTCTTCCATCATCAACCAAACATATGGGTTTGTTTAGTTCCACACATACTCTGATATAATTACCAAACCAAGAAAATGTTATTGTATTTTCAGAATTTCTGAATAAACTGATTTTTAATCTTAGTATATACCAAATTAAGAGGTCGAACATGGAGTGATGGATTCTTCGTCTGATACTTCACGGCATTGAGTGCAGAAGATTGGGATTTGATGCTTCGCGAGTGCTTTTTATTTTTGCTGTATAGAACTCAAAAATGTTGCGCTTCCAGTAGTCGATAATTGAATGTCTGTGCTCATAGAACATAACTTTTAAGTGGGAGACTAGAACTCTCTTCTACCTTACTCATGTACACAAACTATTGTACATAAATAGTTAGTTTTTCGCTTAAGGAGACAAAGAAAAATCAGGCATAGGTAGAAAGGAGGTAAAATTGATCTCAAAGCCCAGATCCACAAAGCCACACTATCGAGGCAATTGCTAGTTGGAGGAGAACTTGATTGGTGCTCACTCTCACCTAACTGATGTTGAACGAAAATACAAGTGATCTCTACATCCGAGATAATATCTGCTCGAGGAAGTAAGTAGATAAGTGAATCAGTCATTGCTATTCATTTTGTTAGGCTCAGGTACTGTCAGATGATACTGTGAACCATAAATATATATAAGGTTTTTAATCTGTGTCAAGATTTTTACTCTGGTTACAGGTAATAATTATGTTCTGTTTGAAGGTGCAATTGGTTGGTGAGATTTACTGAGATAGGATTAATGCAGCTCTTACTAGACAAAAGGAAAAAGTGGGGTTGCCACTCCACAGTTAATTGTTTTGTTTTTCTTGAAGCAGCAAAAATGATGTTTCTATTTTTGTTAGGGTCCATCACCAAGTCTGATACAATTTTAGGAACTGCTAATGGGAATGAAGTGTACCCTCATATAATATGGCCAATGATATCAGTGAGCAATGTCAATATGGGGAACAGCGCTGTCAACAGTGTCAATAGAGAAAATAAAACTGAGATGTGTGATGTCTTGAGGAGATAAATTAAGGTTTGCTAAGAACAATGGCAGGGAGATCTCTAGAGAGAATCGGGGTGCAACGGATGTCTCTAACGAGAGTTGCAAGGGAGGACTTATTCCAATGGCTGTGATTGCTGATGCATCTCAGTGTGATCTGAGGTTGATAAAATACAGGAGATGAACGCTGAATTCAATGTGAGCGTGAACATTTTATGATTTCTCCTTGGCTGTCAAATTGTTCTCCTCATTATATTATCAAAAATCGTATCTTTGATATGATTCGACTTTTTTCTATTGCCGTGTCACAATCTCATCAAGGCGTGGGAGCTTGTCTAAAATTGCCTGAAGGATGTTCAATCTCGTCAAGGTGTGGGAACTTGTCTAAAATTGCCCGAAGGATGTTCATGATCCATGCTGGATCATTTTTGCGATCAATTCATGGACAATCGACCATTTGGGTGGTTTAGATGCAATATCAATTGATCTTTCAAATGCTTATCCAAATACCAATGATTAGATTGGGCCAATCGTAGAGTAAATTGTAAACGCTCCTTTGTTTGTTTCCGTCTTTGGATTTAACTTTTCAATAACAGTAAAATACATGAATGAGTATGAGCCCAATATTTGACATTGTTTGCTGCATTATATCGCATCAGACGTTATTCCTCTCTTTACCCTTTGAGCACCTCTTGATGTCGTTATCTCATTTGACTTTTTTCAGATCTTGTAATTTTTGTCTTGCCTGTTGTTATGGAGGCAGCAGCTCTGAGATTAGCTTCCATTCTCTATTTTTCTTTTTCATTGCAGGTTGCATGTAGAGACTATCCTCATCCACGACACCTTTGTGTTAAGTTTCCCTTTACTTCCACTCCACATGACAGGCATTGCGACCAGGTTAGATCAGCCTTTTTAATTTACCATCTTACTAGACGTTGACACATTTTAATTCTCTACACTTTCTACTGTTTTGATATCTATCTTCCTTAATTTCAGTGCCACTGTTATGTTTGTGACTCACTTGCTCCATGTATCCATTGGGGCACTGGTGTTTCCGGTGTCGACCATTGCCATGCCACTGATAAAGAGGAGCTCTGGAAAGTTAAGAGGAAAAGTTCAAAGAATGGCGATAAAGCTCTCCCACCAATTTCTGGAGTTCCTGATGCTTCTCTCTCGGCAGGAATACTTCACATGAACCTAGTTACACCATTGACTCCACTTGATCCCAACCCTGTGCCCCAGATTGAGATTTGTAGGCCAGCCCTTGTCCGTCCTTCTACTTCAACCAACTTTTACACCCCCAATACCATAAGTCAAGGTAGGAGCCAGCGAACAGGATATGGTGCCCCCAGAGATAAGTTTCATCCATATTTGGTCTCTGAACAGTTGCTCAGAACATCAAACAATGGTAATCCAAGGGACAGAAGGCACAATTTTGATAAGTTTGGCCCTCAGTTAATCTCCCCACGTGCAATGTTGAAGAGGACAGGATCAGTTGGGCTTGCTAATCGGTCTGGCTACAGTTCAGCTAACAACAATTATGGATCTCAATACCCCAGGAATCCCTCTTCCGTGACAACATTAAGTGACCACAATCCCATTAGGTGCCAAGATTTTCGTAGCTTCATGACTACAGCGTCAAATAGATATCAGAGCTCCTCACAGCCAAACACAGGCAGCATTGCTGCGATCACTGTGCCTTCTCAATCCACGTTATCCTCTCAGCTAAACATGGGAAATATGTTTGCAAATTCAGTGCCTTCTCGACCCCAAGTATCATCTCAGCCTTATGTGTGCGCCATCTTTCCAAATTCAATGTCTTCTCAATCCCAAGTATCCTCTCAATCAAATTCAGGGAGCAACTATATAAATTTAGTCTCTCCTCATTCCCAAGTTGTGTCTTCTCAATCCCAATTATCCTCCCAACCCGATGTAGGCTGCACCCATGCAATTTCAGTGTCTTCTCAACTCCACGTATCCTCCCAATCTATTGTGGGCAGCTATCCAAATGCAATGCCATCTCAACATCAGGTATATATTCAGCCTGATTCCGGATCACAGGTTAGCCAAAATGCTTTCCCACTAGAAAATCAAACTCCAAGTGCTGTGGATCCAGGCTTCACAAGTACCAACTTAGGTTGGGTTACCCCTACCAGCCTAAGTAACCAACATCTGGAAGAAAATTCCCAACTCCATAGTGTAACATCAATAGATCATCTCTCACTTGAGACAGAATTTGATCCACTGTTTGTTGGAAGCACAAATTCTGGCTCATTAGAGTTTGATTTTGAAAGTTGGATTTCGGAAAATGAGCAAGTTTCAGGGCCTCCTGGGTTCAATGTGCTTTCTCCTGAACCTGCCCCTTTAGATGCAGGCGGTTTCTTTGATTTTTAAACCTTCTGAAATTAAAATTGTATAGCTTATGTGTGGCTCAGATTCCCGGCTTTTTGCTTAAGGAAGAACGATAGGAGAGAAACACATGCCATGGATGATAAGAGGATTTGTGGGTTTACATTCATCATAGGGAGATTTGTAGTTTGAGATAGCAGTTTCATACATCAGGTACGCAGAGACTGCCCCTGTGCTGAAGGATTTTATACAGAGGCTAGTGGCTTTTGTAAATTTATTTCACGAATCCTAGTTTCTTTTATTTATTCCTTTTTTTGAATAAAAAAAAAGTGACACTAAGTTGCACTAACCTGCTATTTCATTTTTGGTTCTTGAATATGCTTACCATAACATAATTAGACCCTAAGAAATGGGTTCACGATGACCAAGGGGGAGCAGACCGGCGCAGCTCTCACACTCTGCTCAGTGGCTGTTTAGCTTGATGCCCTCACTCTATTCACTGGCTGTTTTAGTTTGGTTTTTCCAGATGAACGTACTCGAACCTGTACACATTATTTACCAAATGAATATGGCAACGGGTCAACAAAATGATTAGGGGTGGTAATAGTGTCGGGTCATTGCGAGTTCGTGAGCATTAGTCAATTTTAACTCAACCTCTTAATTAATCGGGTTGATTGACCTGTTTATTTGTGTCGAGTTTGTGTTTAATTATATAAATTTCGAATAAAGAACTTAATGTTAAAATTTAAATATAAGATTTTATTATCAATTAATTAAATTCAGGTTTATAATTTTTTTATAAATTAAAAATTAACTTAATAATAATGAGTAAAATTGTCTTTTTTGTACAATAATTTTGTTAATACTTAATGAATAATAACAAATAATTATTTTTTTATTTCTATAATATTAGTTAAACAAATTAATCATGTCTATTTCGTGTTATTTATGTTTGACACTAATCTATTTATTGTTCGTATTAACAAGTCGTGTCATTTACGAGTTTCTGTTGAGTTTAAGTCGTATTTTCGTATTGTGTTATAAATTGTCCCCCTTATAAATGATCCACTTAGCCTTTACTCCCTGCCCTTTTTCTCAGCTGCGGGTGAGAAAAATTTACCGTTTCCCTAGCACGTAAAGATAAGGTTGCACCCTCACGATTACATACTGCCACCACACGTTCGGGGATTATGGTCTAGGCATCTTTGAGAACCATGGCCTTCGACAATGAAGCCAGCCTGACGGGTGGAATTGTGGAACAGTCTACACTTGGCACAATTAATGAAAATTTTTAGCATCACACGCAGGCACTCACCAGTCTCCCATGCATTTGATGCAGGAAACAAATTGTTGACATGAAGTAGCTGCAACTCCAGCCAAACCCTGGAGAAATTCCACTTAATTATCACAATAAACAGCACAAGATCCTTCTCCAACACGAGTATACCAGTGTTTGTAACATACAACCATCCCAAGTTTGTTCACACAAAAGCATCCACCACAAATTTTGTTCCATATCCATGAAAGGGAATGAAAGAAAATGATGGTGCGCCGAAGTCCATGATAAAGCCCTAAGATAGCACTGAAATGATCAAGGATGCATACTAAGCACACAACGGAGGCAACCTCCTTCATGCATCAGATCAAAAGCCTCATTGATCTCCGTTAGAGTCATAGTGTGGGTGATATATTCATCAACCTTGATTTCCTGTCAGACAAGTAAAAAGGGTGGCTTCAGTAATGAAACAAAGTTCACTAGAGGAACACGGCAACTGATATCTAAGAATTTACCTTCTTCATATACTTTTCCACAAGCCAAGGTACTTGTGAACGGCTCTTGAAACCACCAAAAGCTGTTCCTTTCCAGACACGACCAGTTACCAACATAAAAGGACGAGTGAATATCTCTTGACCAGATGCTGCAACACCCACAATAATTGATGTTCCCCAGCCCTGCAATTTTTCAAAAAGATCAGATATTTTTTTTTCTCATGCCTGATCACAGGAAAAGCATCCACAATTTGAGACACCAATTTAGACGACTTACCTTATGACAGCACTCCAAAGCAGCCCTCATTATTGATACATTTCCAATGCACTCGAAACTATAGTCAACACCACCGTCCGTAAGATCAACAATAACCTGCTGGATTGGTTTCTCATGGTCTTTTGGATTGATAAATTCAGTGACACCAAAATTCTTTGCTGCATATTACAATTTGTAAGCAAAATCCATAAAAATGAGGGTTACTTTGATTGCTAGCTCTGTGAATAGATAAATAAATAAAAGCTAAACAAATATTCATTGACATAACTCCTCCCTTGGAATTTACTAAGTTGGTTTCTAGAACACTAATTTAGATCTCCGTTGTAATGAAAGTAGGTAGACTAAGCTCTCTTATATAGTCAGGGTGGTTTTGATAGTTAGTACTTTGTGCTCATAACTAGTATGGAATACCAGTGAATGCACATATAAGATGGATTCTTGTTTACTCAACCCCTTGTATGGTAGTAACACACAAAAAACTTGCAAAATCAGAAAATCTGAGATAATCACTCAACCATATCAAGAACAAAAAAGAATAAAAAGATGTTCAACCAATCATTCAAAGAATCATATGTGAAAATAGTGGGTTGAATTTCGTCTAGTAAAAGAAATAATATGAATCAAAATTTGGAGGAAAAAAAAATCACTGCTAAAAGAAGAGGTGTTTTAAGAAGAAAGAAACAAAATCATGCGAGATAGAACCAAGTTTAATACCTTAAGATTCGCCAGAATGTAAATACTGCTGAGTAAGAGAATGGCAAATCAATGTTAACAAACAATCCACACTAAGCTAACCTGGGCAAGGAAACACAGGAACTCACCTGGAGTTTTTCTCCCTTTTTTATCTCCCCTATATGGTTAAAGAACCTTGCAAAATTTAAGAGGTTAATTCTTTATTTCTAGGGGTCTACAAATAAAGTAATCTCTTTGGCTGATTTACACTCCTGGTGAGTCTGATTTGTATGTCACTGATATAAAAATTTAGGCTAATTTTAGATGTCTTAGTTAACTGCCCATAATTATATCAAATGAAATGTATAGGATATTGAATTCTTTAAATGTTCATAATATTTTTTCATGTAGCAATGCTCAGATGCCAATGCCTTAGTAATAGATCTCTCAAAGCCTCAACAATCAATCGACATAATCAAATGCTGATGCACTAGACAAGATGATGTGATTCTAGTAAAGAACAACAAAGTAATTCATCTAAAAAAAATTGAGTTACTATGGATCAGTGCATAAACAGATGCCATCAAACCATGTGGGGACGGGATAGGTGAAGCCATACCTACATCAAACTTTTTGCTGTCAATATCTATGCCAATTATTCGTGAAGCACCAGCTGCTTTTGCACCCTCTGCCACCTATCAAGTAATCCTCAAATTACTGACAATCCTGAGATTCCCGACACATGAATAAGACTAGATGGTCCAATCAAAAACTTACTGCAAGGCCAACAGTGCCGAGGCCAAAAATACAAACGATGGAACCAGGTTCCACTTTTGCGGTGTTCCAGACTGCACCAAGGCCTATAAGACAGCAAATTTATTGTATAATAAGGTAAATATGTATATAAATAAGGAAGTAACTAGGCGAATAACATTTAAATTGAGAAAACAAAAGCAAAAACCATCATGAAAATCAAGAGTCTGAAAGGGTATATCAATAAACTACACCTCAAAAATGACAAAATAAAAAATAACTCTAGGACAATCATCAGAATTCACCCTGCCGAAATCAGAGCAAAAGGCAATGGACATCAAGGGAGAAGAGGATATCAACAAAGTATACAACGCCAAAAGGCATCTAATTAATTGATCAAGAACTGTATTGTAGACCAACTGGGAATTTTGGTGTAAACACTTGAAAGGAGAACCATAAAACATTTCAGTATATGATATTTACAAGAAAGCCTCCAACTAGCACTGCAATGACCGCATGCCTCCCAGGGTCTCGCTTGATTTCCCAATTTTTGCATGAACATCATCAGATGTTTTGAAGAACGTAAAACAAACTGAACAAGTTTTAGTCTTCATGCCGGGAAAAGTTAATGTCACAACTAGTTCCATGTCATTTCCAAGTTATGAAGCACAAACCCCAGAAAAATAAAATAGTCTTGTACAAGTCAGAAGGTACGAAACATGACAGCATGAGCAAAAAGCATATATATCATAAACTTAAAAAGTAACTAAGGAACTCCCAAATCAGAATTGAAACAATGAATTTGAGGAGATGATACCCAATACAACAAATCAGCTACAAAGAAGTTTGGCCACTACGATGCCAAATCCATCAAATCAAAAAGGGAGTAAAGAGTTGCTCACCAGTTGGAATACCACAACCAAGTAGGCAGACTTTCTCCAGAGGAGCTATTGGGTCAATCTTTGCAACACTAACATCATGGACAACAGTGTACTGGCTAAACGTAGAAGTTCCCATGAAATGATAGATTGGTTTTCCATTAATTGAAAAGCGACTTTGGCGATCATTCATCATAACCCCAACTCCAGTTGCCCCCCTAATTTTACCACATAGATTTGTCTTCCCTGACTTACAAAATTTGCATTCCCTACATTCTGCCTGGTAACAGGGTATAACATGGTCTCCAGTCTGAACTTCAGTCACACCTTCACCCACACTTTCTATTATTCTGCGATTATATAGGAAAAATGATCAATAAATAATAACCTTCCAGTGTTAAGTAAATGTCACAAGCTGCAAATATATTGTGCAAAATAAAGAGAGCACTCACCCAGCAGCTTCATGACCAAGAATGCATGGGAAAAGGCCTTCAGGATCCTTTCAGGGAGATAAATAACTTTTAGAATACAATAAAAAACAAAAGAAAACACGAAAAATTTTGCATTATAACAAAAACGAAGAGAACCACATGAACCAGATTTGATTAAAAAAAAGGATATGAGTGCTCCAAATACAGGTTAATACTACACACAACAAAAGATGTCTCTTATGAGGTTGAACAGGACATAATATCATGAAACATATGCACAATAACCCCAAATTCGGAACCAATTACAAATCCTTGCCACAAATTGTCCCAAACTTGCAAGTAAGCAGCACTGTAATATCAGCGCCATAAGCAAATGCATACACAAGGCAACAAATTTTCGTTTCCAGATTCTCTCTTAACCCATTGAACCCCCTGATCCAAGCAAACGAATTTAAATTCCCTCTCCACAATATGACACCCTCGCAACAAGATACGTCAGCTTATGCAAGCAATTGAGATTTTCTCTTCCACATAAACCCTGAAACGAATCTCCAATTGCACAAACATTCAAAAAAAAAATGCCCCAAAATTTCAGAGAAATTAACCAAGGAACCAAAGATTTTCATAAATCTAATCGGAAGAGCAACTTCACCCAACTATGAAAAACCAACACGATTCTGATGTCGATGTATATGTGTATCATGGGATTAATCCAGAATTTAGTGGAAACCCAAAGAAGAATGAGTGAATTTAAGTATATACATACCTTGCCACCCCATGTATAAGTATCGGTGTGGCATAGAGCTGTGAATAAAATCTTGACTCTGACTTCACCGGCTTGCGGCGGAGCTACCTGCACGTCTTCAATCACCAATGGCTTGTTCGGTTCCCAAGCAACAGCAGCTTTTCCATTTCAATTAATTGTGTACACAAACACATCCAACTTAGAGATCCAATCGAACAGAAATGATAAATACATCTAACACACGTAGAATATTGAGATAGAAAAAGAGAGTACCTTTGCAGGTGATGACCTGACCTTGGGTAGACATGGATACCAAAACCACAAATCACGAGGGAGAGACTGTAGAATGTGATGAGGCCAATTGGCCACTCACTAGTGCTTATATACAGCTAGTGTGAGCCTGTGGCTCTGTTTAGGATCGGGTTACGGCTGGGTTGGATGTAGGTGTATCGAATTTTAATTCAGTTCAATTCGAATTCATTTTTATATTTCGATCAATTTTATTTTTATGATTACTGGCAATATACAATGTGTAACGCACCTGAAAATATTTAAATACTAATTTTTCTATAAAAAATTTAAATTATATTAATAATTAATTAAATAATAAATTATGTGGGTATAATTAATTTTATAATAATAATTAAAAAAATTTATATTGGTTATTCAATTGAATAATAAATCATATGCCAAATAATTAATTTTTACTAAGACTAAACTATTGGTCTATTTTACTATTTTTTTTTTTGAGTACTTAATCTATCATTTTTAGATATTTTTTCGGGCCTTTTAAACATTTTTTTTTTGTTTACAATGGAGATTCGTTGTAAGGTTGTCATTCTTGAATATTTGCTCATCTAATTACATTATGAATTTGTTACATTTTTTTGTCAAAGAGATTGATTAAATTGTGATACTATTGTTTATATTTATAATATTATTTGTATACTAAAAAAATCCAATATGGCATATATTTGAATATAGATTACATTTTAATGAAAATATTTAAATACTAACTTTTCTATCAAAAATTAAATTATGTTGATAATTCAATTGAATAATAAATTATGTGTGTATATATAATAATAATTAAGAATAAAGTTAAAAATTAAAAATTTTAATATTAGTTATTCAATTGAATAACAAATTATATATGCCGAATAATTGATAAACCTAAACTATTGATGTAATTTTGTCCCTCATTGAGTATTTAATATGTCATTTTTAGGTATCTTCTCGGACCTTTTAGACATTTCTTTTTTTGTTTATAATGGAGATTTATTGTAAAATTATCATTCTTAAGTATTTGTAAGTCTAATTACATTATTAATTTATTTCTTTTTTTGTTTATAATGGAGATTTATTGTAAAATTATCATTCTTAAGTATTTGTAAGTCTAATTACATTATTAATTTATTGCATTTTCTTTGTTAAATAGACTAATTAAATTGTGATACTATTGTTTGTATTATAATATTATTTGTATTCTTAAAAATCAAATTTGTCAAATCTATATAATAAAGTAGCTTATAATTCAAATCTCAAAAGATAACAAAAAATGGCTTTTGCTATTCGCAGTTGAGATCACTTTAAATTTTACTTTGAAGTTAATTTAACAACTAATATTAATACCCTAAATTTAATAGGAAAAAGAGGCTCCTAAAGATGTGTTTGGAGTGACTTTTTAAAAGTAATTCTAAAATTATTTTCTCATAAATATTTTTTTTTTAAAATAGTATTTGAAATTGTCCCACCACTACATCCACCATCACCACCACCACTACCACCACCATTACCATCCATTGCCACTGCCGCCGCCATCGCCACCACCACTACCCCCATTGCCACTGCCACTGCAGCCGCCGCCACCACCACCATCGTCGTCGCCCTCACCGCCACCACCATTGTACACCGCCACCATTGCCACTACCACCGCCTCTCACCCCCATTACAAATCGATGTTTAAATTCATTTATCTCTTTTCTATGTTTGTGATTTGATTTTTGATATGAATACAAATATGTTTATTGTTTACCATTTTTTATTACTCTGTGCATTCAAGCACGTGTAATCTAACGAATAAAAAGTGACTTTCTGCTATTCGCGATTGAGATCACTTTAAAGTTAATCTAACGAATAATATTAACACCCTAAAATTAATAAGAAAAATATGTCTTTAAGAATGTGTTTAAAGTTACTTTTTTTAAAAAAATTAGAAATTATTTCTCATAAATATTTTTTTTTTAAAATTAGTGTTTAAAACCGCACCACTACTACCTCTATCACCCCCACCTCACCCCCACCGCCGTCGCCATCGCCATCACCACCACCGCTACCGCCACCACCACTGCCTCCACCACCACTGTCACTGCGACCACCATCGTTGTTGCCGTCGCCGCTACCACCACCACCATCACTACCCTCGTAAGCACCATGGTCATTGTCATTCACCACAACCATTATCGTCTCCTACTATCACTATTGTCGCCCACCATTTCTCACCCCCAATATAACCCAATGCTTAAATTCATTTATCTCTTATCTATGTTTGTGATTTAATTTTGGATATAAATACAGATATATTTATTGCTTACAATTTTTTATTACTTTGTATGTTCAGGCACAGACAATAGATAGTATTTAAATATAGATTCATTTTACTTCATCATACAAACATAAAGATAAATATAGGAAATTATGTGTAAGTGTACTATTAATAGATGAGTTTAAAAAAATTTAAAAGTCAACTACTACTAAAAAGGAGTTCAAAACAAATTGAATGTCAAATAGGTATACAAAATAAAAATTATGAAAGCATATAGTGGGTATAATTGACTTTATCATAATAATTAAGGATAAAATAGAAAATCAAAAATTGTTTGCACATGATGATATTTGTAAGTAATATACATATTTAAATTCATTAATAATATAACTCTGACCATATTTAATTTGATCCAAATAACTTATTTGAATAAATTGTATTTAGATTTTAATTGACTTTTTTTAAAAGATTATTCATTTTCCTTAATATTTATACAAAAAATATATAAATATTTCAAATCACATGTAATCGGATCGAATATAATTATATTCAAATTTAAATCTATGAAATATAATATTTCAGATGCGGATTTGAATAATCAATAAACAATATCAATTCATATCAAATTAATCGAATTCAAATTCGGATTAAATTTAGATTAAAATTTGATTCATTGTCATGCCTAGTTCGAAGAGCAAAAATGTGGGTGACATTCAAGTTGGGTCATTTATAAAATAAATTTTAGTTTTGGAAATTTCTTTTGGTAAAAAAATTATAGCTCGTTAATGATTTGTTTGATTTGATTGGACTTAAGTTTAGGTTCAAACTATACCGAGTCGAGCTGAATTCGAACTCCAAAAATCACAAGTTGAGTTTAAGTAAAATATTTGAAATTTATTATGATTTTAATTTTTTTTAGAAAAAAGGTCGAATAGATCTGCTATAAATAGTTCAATACTCGGTCCGATTTGCTCGAATACACCTAAAAACAACATTTATTGGTGTATCTAGTACATCGCACAAGCATCAAGAGATCGTCAAAGATTTACAGGTTAGTAATCGATTTGATTTGGCGTTGTTGGTGTTTGAAGTCTTTTTACCCAATTATATAATAATTAGGGAATGAGGTCTAGAGAGACTTAGTGTGTGTTTAAGACAGAGGAAAAATTAGAAGTTGAAATAGAGATGAAGACGGGAATACGAGTGGTTCGTCTCAGTCGAAGGATTAAAGCTTCATCCACTGTAAAAAGAGGTTCTTGCTACTTGAGGATGATATTACTTGGGGAAGAAGAGTACAGTTACAGATGATTTGGCTGAGAGTTTTTTCAGAATGCTTCATAGGTTGTTTTCTTGTTTATTTTTTTATATATTACATAGTAATATCGTCTTCTATTTATACATCTTGTTACTATGGTTTTCATAGTACTTCATTTTCTGGCCGATTCTTGGTCCTCTCCTCATTTGTTTGATGAACCTACCAAGCTGATATTTTTTGTGCCCCACTACGCCTGAAACAGTATGTATCAAATTTCTTCACTATCGGTGAATATTCGTTTGTTAGACTTATCAGGTTTTATCCCTTTGTCCCCTGTCCACTAGGCACGATAGGATTACTTGAGATCCACTTTGTGCCAAGCTCCAAATTCCCGAGCAAATGCTTATCATCGAGTGTGCCAGTTGGGCTGACATATGTTCCGAGCTGGACGATACTGGGCTTTCCGTGGGGTTGGTTTGTGGCCGAGGCCGAATACAACGAATGCCATTTAGATGGGCTGTTTGGATTGCCTTTGATGAACCCACTGGAAAGTTTTGGGCTTAAAAAAAGGGGTTTAATTTAAATTCATCATCATCAAGAGCATGCCATTAACATAGACACGTATAGTTAGATTTAAAACGTGGCACAAGCATTGTCTTTTCCATAAGATCTACTGATTGTTGACAGATTTGATTGGAATATACAATTAAAATGGATAGAATCTTGAAGACTTCATTGTTTTAGTTGGTTATAGAGGTTGGATTCGGTAACATGACGTTTTTGTTTTCAATTTTTAGAAAAAATAAAAATATGTTTAGTAAATATTTTTGTTTTTATTTTTTGCTACTCCGTAAGGACAAAATACGAAAAAAATTCAAAATAATATTTTTGAAAACATTCAAAATGAAAACACACAAGAAAGGTTAGAAAAGTTTTAATAAGGTCCAACCTTCTAGTTTTATTAGTTGCAAGCAAAAGATTTTTTTTTGGCACATATATAAAGACTTCATATATCCTCTCGTTCTCTTTTCTCTCTCTATCTTTCTCTTTCTCTTTCTCGAATGGCTTTCTCTCTTGTGCAGCTCTCATCACCGACTATCTCTGGCGAATCTCATTGGAGTTGGAGACATCCAATCTCTCTCTCTCTGCGCTATTTTGAATATCTCGCCTCTCTTTTTTTTGAAGTTATACGATTTTTTTTGTGGTTGGCTAATAGGTTTTCACAGGTTGGGTGATGGGTTTTAGTGGTTGTTGATGGTTGGTTTTGAAGTGGATGTTGGATAGTGGGTTTCGGTGGTTATTGGTGGTGAGATTTGCGGTGGGATTGGGTGGTTGGTGGTGGTGGATTTTCTGTATAATATCAAATATATTTTTTATTTTTATTTTCACAATTTTTTAAATATAAAATGACTATCAAATATTTTTTATATTTTAAATTTTTATCACAGAAAAATAAAAATTAGTTTTATTTAAAAAAAAATATTGCCAACCACATCCAAGAAATTAAAGAGGTACAGTATGTCCACACAAAAAAAAAAAAATTGAATATGGATAAAGAGAGACAATGGCCCAGGCCCAGACAATAGTTTATTTGGCCCATAAAATTTTGTCCAACCCCAGCCCAGCTATAATTATTATTGATTTGATCTGAATAGTCTGACCCGACCAAGTTCAATCTATTTCTTTACTAGCGGGCCCCATATTTTTTGTCCTCTGTCGTCCCATAATTTATGCTTAATGCGTATCTTAGTTTCCACGCGTACAAACAAGATTTTAGATGACGAGTCAAAAGGTAATTTTATTTTGATTAGCCACTATTACCAATGGGTGATGAATTTCGAACCACAGCCACAAATAAGATTGATAATAGATTCGAATTATTCTGGCCTCATTTGTGTCGAGACGAGTTTATATAATTTTTTATATTTATTTAAAAAAATAAATTTAAAAAACTCGACTCTAATTAAAAAAATTCAACACTTTTATATATACACTAATCGAGATATTTCAATTCGGTTTAACATTTGACTTAAGCTCATAAACATTTCACTGGATTATCAATTAAATCCATAATTTTAAAATTAAATAGAAAAGACGGTGGTTATTAGATTAATGTTAACCTTAGTATTTCCAAATTGTTAGAAAAATACAAGAAAAAAAAAAAAAACGTTGTAAGGATTTTGAAGAAATTCTTTTGTTTGGATTTTTGAAAAAGAAAACTTTTTGCAAAACACGCGCTGAAGTGGGCCGTGTACCAGACAGTCATCAAGTGCCGAAAGGAGCTGTGCTGCAGCAACACCGGCAATAAAGCGACCATCTCTCTCTCTCTCTCTCCCTTTCTTTCTATTGCCGCTAAATCTTCTTGTCAAACTCTCACTTCAAGATCTCCATCTTTGTTCTCATCTCTCTCTCTCTCTCTCTCTCTCTCTCTCTCTCTCTCATGTGTTAAGGTGCTCCATTTTTCACTCTGTTATCTTTTTCACTCCACAGCACAACCTCCATTTCCCTCTTTCTCAGATCTTCATTGCATTCCATGGATCTGTAAATTCCACTGCATTGTTGTATTTTACATAGGGTTTACTCTTCGCATGCTTGTTTGGCCGCTTTAGTGTGTGTAAAGACATGCAATCTTACTGTTTGAGCAAAGGAGCTGATGGAGGATTTTGTTTGCGTCATCGGAACCCTAAAAACTTCCGTCGAGAGACATTGGAGCTCGTTGGTTTTTGATTCTGATGATGGTGTGTGCGAATGGCTTACCGGAGAGAGAAGATGCCAACTCTGATGTTTCTTTTTCTTCTCCCTGTGCTCACTCTGGTTTCTACTAGTTTTGGTACTCAATCTTTACATTTTTCTTTGCTTTTGGTTGGGTTTTTTTAGCTTTACTATCTCTCTCTCTCTCTCTCTCTCTCTCTCTCGGTTGATGAGAAAGTGGGCCAAAAAAGAGAAAAACAAAATCGTGAAAGCTATGTTTTGGTGAAGGTGTTATTTTTTCTTAAAAGAGCATACATCTGAAAGTAAGTTAGAATGAGAATAACGGGCCACATTGGTTTTTTTTTTTTTTAATTTTATTGTTATAAACAGTTTCTTCACTCCATTGAATGAGATATGTATGGTAGAATTGTTCTAGAGCTTGTAATTGGAATGCCGAGGTTTGGCAATGAAAGGGTATAATATGCTCTATAGACTTGAGCTGCATTTGGCAACATAGATTTTGTGCTCTGAAATCGCAATTGAGGACCTTAATACTTCACAATGCAATCTCGTTTTGTGGCAGATTTTAAATCCAAGTCGTATAGCTCATGCTAACCGGCTCAGTATTAGTTTTACATTGTTGATGCCTTTCATGTTCAGTTGTGTAAATTATAGCTATTCAATTAATAACTGGTATAATTATCTCATTGATAAACCTTCAGTAATCTACTTACTACATAGTTTGCACTTTCAGTTAAACAAGTCTAGTTATCTCGCTGACAAACCTGTATTACTTTAGAGAGCATTTTTGCCATTAATTTTTTTGATTCCTTTGTTATTATGTTCAAATCAAAATATTCAGCACATCTCAAGGATAGGCTGAGTCTGCAATTCTCTAGTGCGCAGTGATCATAATGGTAAACTTATTTATAGCCAAGATAGGGCTATTATATTTAAAGATCTAAAAAATGTAAACGTGAAATACATTCTTACATTTTGATGCAAATTAATCGTATCTGTGGTTGTTAACTTGTCATGATAGACAACTTTCTATTTCTTCAGGGATTCCGATATTGCAGATCCGCTTGTCTCCTCTACTGCCAAGCCAACCATCTTTTGTGGAAAAATTCTCACAGGGGGATGGTAAGGGTGCAAAATTTATAATTTCGTTTTCTAGAGTGGCAGATTTTTTGTCCTTACACTTTTTCGTAGTCTTACCTTTTTGCTTTTGGCTTCTTTAGATATTTATGTGGCTCATATGTATTTTAAATCAAAGTTGGACACCAAATTGTTTTATGCGACAGAAAAGGAAAATCAAATCATTTTAAATTAACATTTTTGCCTAGTTGAGGGAAATTTTGAATAACTTTTCAATTACATGGGGGATGTTTTGATTGGGAAGTGAAATTTGTCTTTATGAATTTTGATTTGGGATTGGCAATTGGAAAACTTCTTGTGTAGAGACTTGTGTGATTATTACACTCTTGATGCATTGGAAAGTGCAAATGTAATTGCCAAGGGTGTGCAACAGTAGGAAAGAGTGTTGAATTTGGATATGCTTAGAGTGTTGCTAAAGCATCTACTCAGTACGTATATTTAGAGTGATGGATTAATATGAAATTTTGACTTATCAAAGGGAGTATGGAAGTGGAACTTAGTTTAGTCTGTTTTGCTTTCATCCAACAAGCTCTTTAATACCAGCTTAGACCTATTTTTTATGTATTGCCCCCTAACTATAGATCAAATTCACCAGACAAGAAACTAAATTCTGCATTGATGTTGCTTTGTCGGACTTACACACCACGAGATTTGTGGAATTTATGTAGATTGCATTGGGGGAAATCTACCTTAGTTCGGCAGATAGATAGACTCCTTTCTCGCTTCCAAGGGAGAGCAAGGAATAAAAACAAATGATTGCTTTCTCTATTTAATTCAGGCCTACCTCGATAGATCTAGGTTACAACAATTGATCCATTGGTTCTCCTTTTTTAGCCAACACCATTTTATCCTTGAATTGTCAAAGCAAAGAATTTGATGAATAAAAGGAAAAGAGATAAAAAAGATAAGCTGGCGACTTTACTATAGTATAGGTCGGATGTTTATGTGAGATTTGATTTCGCTCACCCATGTGAATGCGACATCCAAGTACAAAGATAAGGTTGATCAAAGTTATAAAACTCTATTTGGTTAAACGAAATATATGATACATGACTATACAAATATTGTGTTATGCCGATGAATGCTACTCTTTAAATCTTACTAGGGGTAAGCCGTGCCTGAAGACACTGTGCAATGTAAATGGTTTTTAGAAAAATGTTAGTGGCCGTTGGATGAGTCTATTTGAGACCGTTGGATGAGTTTATTGAAGTCTGTCCTGTTTTAGATTATAAATGTTCGTTTTAGCTAGGTATGTGATTATAAAATGTGTTTAAATCTAGGGTAACGTGAAATAGTCGAGTGTTTGTGTGTATTGGGTAATTGCAAGTCTACTATAGGCAAGTCAATTTGGTGGGAAAAAAAGAAGAGGGGTTCGATGTAGCCAATTCAATAGATAAATTAGACAAGGCCAGGATGCAAGATTGTTTTGGGCATCCATGGATCATGAAGGATTTGTTCAGAAGCCGAACTTTTTCGGCACTTTATAGCACTTGGGGCGTAACCATCATCCATTCTCCTTATTATTTGTATCAACACACTTGACCCATTTATGACACGAGTTCTGATGACTCTTGACATGAATATGAATTGTGGAACTTGCCTTACCCATGGTTTAGGAGTATATATTTATATGACTCATATGTAACCAACAAAACCCATGATTTATTTTTTAAATAGGTTTCACTTATTATTATGTTCGAGTGGACCACCTTAATGTGTATTTGACTATGGATATGTTGATATGCATTGACATCATAAAAGGCTCTAACGTCTTCAACATATAGTTGGTATTTGGGTCAGCCCGAGCCAAACGTAGACCCTAGGCCCCATTAATTATGTTATTATAATAATATATTTAACTTATCAAAAGACCATCAAATTCTAAAAAAAATATCAAAATACATACTTTTCAAGTTGATTAAAAAAGTTGAAAACAACATACGAAAGAAACAATTACATAATTTTGTTATAGATGGTAGGTTCCAAGACATGAATAGTATTATGATTAATATAATGAATCTCATATTAGTATAAAACTCATAAAAGTAAAATTTGATTTCATTGAACATTGATCTAAGAATTTTATTTGGGACATTGAAAACAAATCTAGACTTAATTAAACTTGAATTTAAAATTTTAAAAATAATTTAAAATTTTTAAAAATAATTTAAAATTAGTAAATCTAAATCTAAAAAAAAATTTGAGGCCCCAAAAAATATAGGACCCTAGGTGGCGACTTCGATTGCCTAGCCTAAGGGCCAGTCCTGGTCAGGATGAGCATGGTTTAAGGAAGCTGTAAATTCTCACAGCTTATTTAAGACTGCACCATCTGATTATTACTTTTCATCCGGTTCTAATGTAGAGTACTTACTTAGTAAAGGTACTTTTTGCTCTCAATATTTCTTTTAGCTTGATATCAGTTCGTCCAATGCTGTCTTCAATATTTTAATGCTTTTTTAGCCACCTCTTCTTTCTCTTCCTTGCATCTTAATGGCAATCCAGTTCATGAAGGTCACAGTTTGACTTATTCTGATAATCATAGATGGCTCTGTATATACAAAAAAGTTAATGGATATCAGAGGTTGTTTGCTTTTCTTTGCAGTGAGGTTAATCAGGATGAGTCCATCATATGCTCCGTCAATTGCTCCCCATGCATGGCGGTCTAGGCCTTCATTGGAACTGTCAAGTGCACCTGCTGCTTCTGCAATGCCTCAAGGTACTCAAGATTCATTATCTGAACTCCTTGCTCTTGATTATTTCAGCTTTCCACTGATGTTAAAACTCTTTACTTTAGGTCCTGTTGCTGGTCCTAGCAGTAGTACAAGACATCACCACCATCATAAACGGGCGAGAAATCATGCAGTCTCCCCTTCTCCGTCCACAGTAGCAGGTAATATTTTAGCTGTAAGCATGCTTTGGGGCCTCATAGAATTGCTGAGATTTAGCCTTTCACGAATATTGCTCTCCATGTGGCCTTCGTTTAGTAGCACAACATGCTCATTCTGTTCACGCAACCCTGGTTGAACTTTGAGGGGTTAATATGGATTTGAGAATATTGTACACTGGAAGTCGTTAGTACCATTGGGAAAGTAAATCTGACAAGCTTTCTAAAGTCCAATCCATAGCGAGGAGTCGTGTTGCTTTTTTTACATGGTTTTGCCTATGTAGACGACAGGCATCTTTTTCCAGAGTGTCAATTGAAGTAACCTCACCTGCAACCACCCCTTTTTCCCCTATCCTTCCTCCCACTTGATTTTCCTTGCCTTATTGTGAGATGTTTTTTTTAAAAAGAAATTAATTGCTTGATTCTTATATCTGCAGGTTGTGGTCAAACTTGTGTGGAGCCACTTACTTCAACTCCCATTGGTTCACCCTGTGGTTGTGTGTTTCCGATGAAAATTAGACTTCTTCTAGATGTATCTCTTTATGCCATCTTTCCTGTGGTTAATGAGCTAGAGATTGAGGTTGCAGCAGGCATATATCTGAAACAAAGTCAAGTGATCATAATTGGCGCCAGTGCTGATAGTCAAAATCAGGAAAGAACAGTGGTGGATATTAACTTGGTTCCTCTGGGGGAGAAGTTTGATAATACCACTGCTATGCTGACTTATGAAAGATTTTGGCAGAATAAGGTCCCTCTAAATAAGACTCTTTTCGGTAACTATGAAGTGGTGTACATTACATACCCAGGTACAACCTCAAAAGTCGTTTTGTCATTGTCTTTATCATATGATTATGTTAAGGCGCTGTTGTAGAGTCTAAAAGAGTTATTATCAGGGCTTCCTTCTGCGCCTCCATCTGGGAATTTCTCTGGTAATGGTCCAAGTGGAAGTGTTGGAAATCAGCAATTCCCTGTCACTGCAGAATTTGTAAACAAAAGCGAGAAAATGAGGCCTAAAATTATTTTCGTCTCCACTTTGTCAGCAGTAGTGCTCTTGCTGGTTTGCTGTGGGGCAGTTTTCATCCTCTTAAAATGCAGGAAGGTTGGCAGACCTTCAAATGCTGTTGGTCCTGCATATACAGTACCTGCAAGTAAAAGATCTGGTAAGTCTGTGAGTTGGTTTCTATCCTGAAATGTTGGCAATGATGCATGGATATAGCATCAAATTTTCCATGACTAGTTAGGACTTTGTATGTGATTGATGCCCTGTGGGACCACTGCTCACATGCATTCCTCTATTGATGGTTCTATGGCACATATCTGCATATTTGCCTGTTAAACTATGCCAAACATAACTTTCCCTGCAAAAATCCTGGTCCGCTGACTTATTCTCGATTTTTTGCTGAACATCTCTCTACCTTGCATTTAATATGCTGCCATTTTTTTGTTGGTTTGCCCATACAATGCATGATTTGATCAAATGCATGACATTGACTTTTTTTACTCAATTCTTATTAATATTTTGTGGGATTATCAAATCGTGCTTTCTCATAGATGACAATTCTACCTGCCTTACTCCCCCCACCCACCCAAAAAAAAAAAAAACAAAAAAACAAAACACAAAAAGAAAAAGACATTTACCTGCTTCTGTGATCAAGAAAATTTATCAAAAATCATTCTCCATCTGGTTGTTCCTTGAAGTATAAAATTTTAAGGGCAAGTGATCAACTGCTTTTGTTCCCTGTTTAAAATGAAATTTCACTACTATTGATGCATGTACCATGTTTAGGATGAACCCAGTGACCTTCAGTCTAATTGCACAACCCATTCATACTGCAAAAAATTAATTGTCCTGTCCAATTTTTAAAATGATTGAATCTCTCTTTGTCTACTTGTTCTGTCCTTTTTATTTTGTTGCCTGTCTGGCTGGCTGTACTGACCAGAGAAACTTGAATTTTTTAAACCACATTAGTAGGCTAATTTAATATTGTGTTTAGTGTGTTGTTTTATCTGATCATTTTAAGTTGTCTACAGTTGTTGAGATCTTATGAACACAACTAATTTCCCTTTATGTTGTAGGAATTGGGTCTACATTATCAAGTAGCCCAGCAATCTCCTCATCAGTGTCTCTTGTTTCTGCCATGCCTGCATCTATTCTCTCTGTCAAAACATTTGCACTTGCAGAGCTTGAGAAGGCCACAGAGAAGTTTAGCTCTAGAAAAGTTTTGGGTGAAGGAGGATTTGGACGTGTTTATCATGGGGTCCTGGAAGATAGATCCGAAGTTGCCGTGAAATTGCTAACAAGGGATAATCAAAATGGAGACCGTGAATTTATTGCTGAAATTGAGATGCTAAGCCGTTTGCATCACCGTAACCTTGTTAAACTGATTGGTATATGCATTGAAGAACACACACGCTGCTTGGTTTACGAGCTTGTTCCAAATGGCAGCGTTGAGTCCCACTTGCATGGTATACATTTGATGTCATCTGCGTATATATTTGTTGGCTAAAACACCTTTAAATTATCATCTATTGTTCATACCCCATCCCAACCCTGTGAAGACCACACCAAAAAAAACCCTGAAAACTCACCAGCAGAAAAAAGAAAAATTTGGGGGGGGGGGGTGGATTGGGCAAAATACTTTTCCTGTTCCCTACTTATGCATTAGTCAAATGACATACCTTGCCATCTTTACGACCTTAAATAAAAGTACCTGCGTCTGTGTTGATGCATTCCATCTTATTTTGCATTATAAGTAAAAGGAACATAATTTTAGAGCGAATTTGTATGACGTAATCCACCTGTCGGTGTTCCAGGTGTGGACAAGAGAAAGAGGCCTCTTGACTGGGATGCACGTTTGAAGATTGCTCTTGGTGCGGCAAGAGGATTGGCTTATCTTCATGAAGATTCTAATCCACGTGTGATTCACCGAGACTTCAAGGCAAGTAATGTCTTACTAGAAGATGACATCACTCCCAAGGTTTCAGATTTTGGGTTGGCGAGGGAAGCAACAGAAGGAAGTCATCATATTTCCACTCGAGTTATGGGTACTTTTGGGTATGTATGGTTCCTGCAGGACAAGTTATACTCCAGAAATCATACAGTTATAGCAAGCTTCTCGTCAGGCAAATGAAATTATGATCAACACATTCACTTCCTCATTGAGAACAATCATCTTACTATTCAACTTCCTATGAACTTTGGGTTAAAAAGCATACAAGATTTCTTTAATTAGTACAGTGACGCATTCACACCAGCATTTGATTTTTTTTTTCTTTTTACGATGAAGTGCAATACGGAAATGTATTGCATCCCCCCAGGTGGTTGCATGCAGCTTCCTGATTTTTTTATTTGTATTTCCCTGAATATTGGGCATTATCTTCTGTGCAATGTAAACCTGAAATTGTGTCAATGGAGAATTCGTATGCATCTTAGAATACCCCCACTGAAATCACGCCTTTTGCCGGGTCACCAAGCTTGTCACTGTCTAAAGCTGTCATCTCTCCAGCCAATACTGCCACAGCTGAAACATAAGATGATATAGAATAAGAAATAAGCCTTCTTCTACATCATCGGTTTCATCTTCCCCTTTGCTACCAGTTCCTTCTTGCCCTTTGAACTGACCACTTCCCAATCTCAACCTTCCCCAGTTCCTTGGCCCGAGGCTGCCTCTCCTGTATTTGTTATTATGTCACAGCTTTTATTGAACTGCCAGGTTTTGTTATTGTGACTTTGTATGCAAGATATTGCTCTCAATAGTCAGTTTCTGACGGTTATTTTAAACTCTGGATTTACAGGTATGTTGCTCCTGAATATGCAATGACAGGGCATCTACTTGTCAAAAGTGATGTTTACAGTTATGGGGTTGTGCTATTAGAACTTCTCTCTGGGAGAAAACCCGTGGACATGTCTCAACCTCCAGGACAAGAAAACCTTGTGACTTGGGCACGGCCCCTACTTACCAGTAGGGAAGGTTTGCAACAGCTGGTGGATCCTACCTTGGCTGGAAGCTACGACTTTGATGACATGGCTAGGGTGGCTGCCATTGCTTCCATGTGTGTTCACCCGGAGGTGACTCACCGGCCATTCATGGGGGAAGTCGTGCAGGCCTTAAAGCTCGTATACAACGATACAGACGAGACTTGTGGGGATTGCTGTAGTCAGAAAGAGTCTTCTGCTCGAGATTCAGACTTCAAAGGCGATCTTGTACCTTCTGACAGTAGTTGGTGGAATGCTGGCGCTCTTACCCCGAGGTTAACTTATGGGCATGCCTCCTCTTTCATAACAATGGATTACAGTTCAGGTCCGCTTGAAGAGTTAGAAAACAGACCGTTTTCAGCTTCAAGTTTATTTGGGGGAGGAGGGGTTTCTTTGCCCATCGGGCATGGGAATAGATCTGGTCCTTTGAGGACAGTTCGGAGTAAACCAGCCTTTTATAGGTTAAAGGGGAGTATGAGTGAACATGGTGGATTGCTCCCAAGGTATGGTTGGGATGGCGGCACTGGTTATGAAGCGTCGTTTTAGTGCTTTTGAATTGTACAGTATGGAAGGGCCATTGATATTCAAAGAGTGTTTTTCAGTGTAGTTTAGGAGTTTGATTGGTGCGGTTTCTATATATGAAAGAGAGAGGCTTCTAATTTTGATGATCTTAATTCATTACCATACAAAAGGAGGTGTAAGGTGGGATGCTCCCGTGTTGTATATGTAGTCAATTTGTTTCTTGTGGTTCAGTGCTGCATCAACCTGACTGTAATTTGCTGGTTTCCATTTGTTTTGTTGGTTCTTGGGTAAATTATGGATTACTGCCCTATGGTTTGTCCTGATAACACCGAACCTCCCTATACTTTTGGAAGTTTACACATGCTCTGTTGTGATTTTGGACCAATTTGTAAACCTACCCATTAGTTACGTAGTCTCATCTTTGTTGCATGGTATCTTTAACAAATTAAAAAGTCACCATGGAATTGGATGTAGTGGTTATTGGTAAAGATTAAGTTGGGGTCTAGAGTTATGTGGTAGTTTTCAACTAATTAGTGATACCATATTGGCGATAGTAATGTAGTATTACGGTTGCATTGAAGAACTTCTCCTAACATGGTCTTGGCCTCGAAAAGAGTACTACTTTTGAACGTTGGTTGGTTTGGATATCAAGTAAATAAATTATGTGTGTAAAATAGGTCTAAATAACATTATTGTTATTAGATCTAACAACAACAATGCACTCCTCGTATGGGAAATTCCCTCTTAAATGAGAAATAATCTTGCACTCCCTTGTTAGTAACTTTTGTCTCATTATTGTAACAAAAATTATTAAATTACTACAATACCCTTCCATCTCTATGTCAAAAGGCATCTTTTTCCAACTTTGTTCTCTATCACCCAACCTCACCTCCCCACCCCCAAACATCACCAATCACAACCACACAAATTTTCATTTTTATTTCTTTCTCTATCTCTCTATATATATGAATTTGGAGGAGATTTTAAGACTTTAGAAGAGAGAATTGTTAGAAGGTATCCTTTGTCACTAGTTGTTGCCTGCCAAATTCAATCATTGCACAACTAATTGTGTGTATAAGTATGATTGTGAGAGAGAGGGAGAGGCCACGGGAATTTATCTTTCATGAATTCTTTAGTCTTGAAATAGATAATCTGACTTTGATCGGATTGGGGAGACAACTAGTCGAAGTGCGCGCAAGCTAACGCGGACTCTTCTGACCGTTGAACCAAAAAAAAAGAGAGGGAGAGGGAGGGGGAGCTCCGATTATAACTGATCATTTATTCCTTTAATGGATGCACTGTGCGTGATGGAGTGCAAAGGTGATGGGTGGGTTGTATTTGTTGGTGTGCCATGGTCATAAGTGTGTTAGAGTAGTTAACACACACAGACACACACACACACACACATACACAGGAGATCGATTGGCCAGGAAGGTGGGTGGTAGGTGTGGTTTGTGACCAGAAGAAGTTTGTTTGGAAACAAGTTTAAATTGTTAATGTAGCGAGTATTGTTGGTGTGGTCAAGTCCTGCTTAAATATAACTTAGATAAGAACAGTGCTTGTATTTTTAAAAAATAAATTTTTTACATCATCAAAATTTTGACGTCTCTTTAACAGCAAGCTAACCGTTGGAAGAATCTGTTATCAACAACCAAAACTTAAAGTTTTCCATGTATAGAGGGGTCTTCTTGTTATTTGACCAAACTCCAAAGGAAGTCGATATAATTTACCCTATTGTTATTTTATGGTTTGATTACCGCCTGGCGTTTGAAAGATTGGAGTGTTAGTGTTAGGACCTAGACGACTTTGTCCGCCGACCTGATCTGTAAGTTCGCAACTGAACCGCCACTTCTTGTAATAAAATATAATAATTAAGGTAATCTCGGAATTAAGTTCAACAAATGACCATTATTTTATACTTCATTAGTAAGTAATTAATTCTAGAAAGAAGCACGTTCAAATCCCTTAAGGTTTTTTAATTATTTAGACTCCTAATATTTAAAATATTACATACAGACCTCTTGAAATTTGTACGCGCTTAACACTAAGACCATTGCCGTCAATGTTCGTTAATATATCTGTTAGTAAATTAAATTCAGACCCCTAAAAATTTATAAACATATAATACTTAGACTCAGTTTAAAATATTATATTTAAATAAAAAATACTCTAATCAAAGATAGAATATTAAATATTTTAAATTTCACAATCAAAATTCATGTTCAATTGTATCATTTATTAAAATAAAAATAAAAACAAAAATTTATTTTTTTCTTAAAAAATCGTAATTAGTATATACAATTATACTATCTATTGAAATAAAACAAAAATATCAAATAAGGGGTCTAAGTCATTTATAATAGAATATGAATTTTACAAACAAATTTCATATTCTATTATGTCATTTATTAAAATAAAATCAAAAATAAAAATTTAACTTTTAAAAAAAAATTATAATTAGTATATAATTATACTATTTATTGAAATAAAACAAAAAAATCAAATAAAGAGTCAAACTATAATGGACACAATATTTTCTAATTTTAATTGGGGGTAATTTGGTAGTTTAATTTGATCATTTAAACGACCAAATTAAATTTTAATAGACAGTATAATTGTATACTAATTATAATTTTTTTAAAAAAATTAAAGTTTTATTTTTAATTTTATTTTAATAAATGTCATAATAGAACATGAATTTTAATTATAAAATTTAAAATTTTTGATATTCTATTTTTAATTGGAATATTTTTTGTCTAAATATAATATTTTAAACTTGAAAAGTCTAAATATGACACGTTTACAAATTTCAAGGGATTTGAGTGTAATTTACTAATGAACAGTGACGACAAAGAATCTAAGTATTTCGCGCGTATAAATTTTAGGAAATTTATGCATAATATTTCAAATATTTGAGAATTTGAGTAATTAAGTGACAAATCTCAAGGGATTTGAATGTAATTATCCCTTAATTCTATCAATAAATTGACTATCTTATAGATGATGTGGAAGTAGGGGTGTCCATGGGCGAGGTTGGGATAGGCTCGTGACATCTTTTTTGGGCCAATTATGGGTAGTGTAAATTCAAGCCCTTACTCAAGTGAATTATCGACTTGAGCTGGATCGGATTTCAGTTACGAGTAGGCTACCAGCAACTCAACCTACGAGCTTATTGAGCAGGCTTTATTGGGGGGGACCTTCTTAGCAGGCTTATTGAATGAATCTGCTCGCGAACTTTTTTATATACAACTTTATTTTAAAATAATGAATATTTTTATAACTTAATATTTGTGTAAATTATATTTTGAATTAAAAGTAGAGTGAAAATCGTTAAAAATAAAATAATAAATAATTTTATTTTTGATTAGGGGATGAACTATATCACATAAAATGAATACATTATAATTAGGTTGACACCTACTCATTTATTTATTATTTGTGTTACTCTACTCTTTAAAACTTATATGTTTGATATATAAATAAGAAAATAATACATTATTTATAGTATTTAAATTTTTAAAATTTCAAATTTCGATAATAAGAGACTTATTTCAAAATTTTAAATTTAATGGTCTAAAATTATAATTTTTTTTCAAAGGGTCGGGTGGGCAGACTCTTGGATCGGGTTTTAACATATTTTTTCGAATGGACTATTGAGCTGAGTTTCGGGTCAGGTAATGGGTTTGAGGAAAACTCAAACCCTATTTTTAAGAATATTGGATTCAGACAGTCAACTATTGGGTCTATCGAATTTTAAAATTTGTTTGAGCCGGGTAATTGGATCGTGGATAATTAGGGGTCCGGCTCATCTGCGGTAAGTAATCAACCGCACCATATGCGGTTTAATGGAACGACGCCATTTTACGGCATTTTTCCATTTTTTTTTGGAAAAATTATAGACCAAAGCGATGCCGTTTCCAGTACACCAAACCAGACCCACATTCGTTCAAAAAAACCCCCAAATTGAACCAAAACCCTAAACGAATTGAGAGACTCTGCAGCCCCAACACCAAGATCACAAACTCCAACCCCAACATCAGGTATTCTTCATGGGTTCTTCGATTGTTCAGTTCGTGTGTGTGTGTGTTCGTGTATATATATATTGATCGAAGTTCTTTTCGTATGGCTTGATCGAAGTTATGTTCGTATGGCAAGTTTGATTGTGATGCTTATATATATATATATATATATATATATATATATATATATGATCGAAGTTCTGTTCGTATGACAAGTTTGATTGTGATGCTTGAATATGAAAATGACTTAAAAAATTTTGTTGTTCCTGTTCCAGTTTGGAATGCTCAAGTAATTTGAATAAGTTGCTGGAATCATTCCACAAATTGAACAACAGATGAAAATTAAAATAGATATTCAAACTATACAAGATTAAAGCAGATGGAACAACAAATGGACATTAAAGCAGATTTTATATACAAGATTCAAACTATATATCTTTAGCCTGTTTGAACCATATTTTTTTATATGCTTCATGTTTGCTTCAGATTTTATATGCTTCATGTTTGCTTTAGATTTTTATATGCTTCATGTTTCATTTTTTTATATGCTTCATATTTGCTTCAGATTTTTATATGTTTCATGTTTGCTTCATTTTTATATGCTTCATGTTTGCTTCATATTTTTTAGCCTGCTACATTGTTTGCTACAGATATTTTTTTATATGCTTCAGATTTTATATATAGGATTCAAACTATATATATTTTATATTTGGAATTTTTAAAATTACTTGAGGTGGTATGTGAAATGAAATGGGCTTGTCTCAAGTTCTTTGGAGTTTGGAGAACAAATATAATCCAATCAACCTGGTGAATTTGGTTGTATGCCCTGTATTTTGTTTAGTGAAAATGTTTGAACAAGGCTCAATCACCTTATTTTGGTGATGTTTTTAATGGCAGCTATGTGGGCATTGTTTTCCTAATTTTTCTCTTATGCCTAATTTGGAGACATGGTTTAGCAACATCAGCAAGAAACCAAGAACAAACTGCCTTCCAAGCGGAGCATCCCCAACCAAGCACCTTCCAAGCATTTTTGACCTTATAACTCAACTGCTACTAACAGCAGCCAAGCAAAAGTTCACATTTCATCAAACACCAGCACCCCATCAGGTATGGAACACACTGCATCAGATTTTCTGGACTATTTGCATCAGATTTTCTGCACTCTTTGAATTATTTTCTACACTGTTTGCAATAGATTTTCTGCACTCTTTGCAATAGATTTTTTGCACTCTTTGCATCAGATTTTCTGCAGTCTTTGCAACAGATTTTTTTCACTCTTTTGAATTATTCTTTGCACTCTTTGCATCAGATTTTTCTGCATTATATGCTTTATGTTCCAAACATCAAAATGCCAAAAGTTGATTTGCTGTTGTATTTGGTGAAATACTGCAATTGATTTGCAATATTCTGTGTATGTCCAACAACATTCATCCATTACCTGATAGCTTGTTCAAGCAATTCTACCTGATTCAAGAATGATATCTTCAACAACGGCGACAAACAATGAAGATTTAAGATATCACTATATGTATTGTCCCATTTGTAGCAAAAAAACGATTATCAAAGTTTTCGAATATGAAAAAAATCCTGGGAAACTATATTGCAAATGTCCAGACGATTCTAGTCATTTTTTTAAGTGGATGACTCCTATTACTCTCCCCTCTTTGGAATTTAGAAATGAAAGGATGGATGTACGACAAATTGAATACAATGTAATGACATCGAAGTCAAATATGTTTGCAATCACGTTACTAGTGGTGATTATTATATTTGTGATTCTAGTGAAGTAGATCTGTAAGAGCAATGATGTACTGATAAAACTTGTGTTGTAAATAAACTTGTGCATTTAAGTTGAATGAAATTGTAGGTTTTGTATATTGTTGTGACTTAGAAGATCATATTCATAAAAAAAGATCACATTCATTAAAAAGATTACATTCATTAAAGAATATCACATGCATTAAAAAGATCACATTCACAACAGAAGATCGTATTCAGTAAAAAAATCACATTTATTAAAGAAGATCACATTACATTACATTAAAAATACAAGAAGTATCCTTACAACTGCTAGTACTCTTATTAAAAATAAATAGTTTTCAACAAAATGAGAAATTGAGAGTCTCCATCTGCATCCTTATAACTGTTGATCCTCCTTATAAGTTGTATCCTCCATTCATCAAAAATGATTTAGCATCATTTAAAGAATGCACATGTGTTGAATCAATCGGAGTACCCTCATAAATATGTGAAACAATAAAATTAACAATAATGGATTATCTCCAAAGTTGCTATAGTCAATAATCATCACTAGGTCAACCCAAAAATTATTAGTAATATGTTCTTCGCATCCAATTGCACTTCATAATAAAATGATAGATTTTTCACTGATTCCGTTTGAAAATACTTCAACAAACTACCCGTTTTGCCATACCTCAAGTCTCGTTGCCTCGTTTCACGGAAGTAATTCTTTTGGTCTTGACGAGTAAAATTAAAATTTTCCTTTCCTCCAGACTGAGTACTTAAAAGATTATAGGAAGCTTTAAGTGACAATCCACAATCCGCTGTCATATCAATATTAATGTCTTGTGCTGCGGTAACCTTCCGTTGGAATGACATCATATGCATACATTCAGCAAGGTGCAAAAGATGGTTGTGGTTGTCGTCCCATTTCACCACAAAGAAATTTACCAATTTCTCTATTAAGAGATATGCACATATGAGCTTGGTAATTTGTTTTTGTCGCTGCTCGAGGTTTCTTTATTTGACACTCTTTTTTATCACAACCTCTTTTACCTTGTTTACAACAAACATAATTTCTGTAAATGATAATGCCATCTTTCAAACATTTATTCTGAAAATCTTTCGTCACGCTAAATCCCACAGATCCTCCATAACTATTGTAAAACACATAAACATCTTCCTTCGCATCAAATTGCAAACCAATATGAGGTATATTATCAGTCGCACTAACTCTGAAATCATCTATCATAGTATACTACAATAAGAAATTTAATTGAAATGACATTAGATGGAACTTACAGTCATAGATGGAAGTAAATGTCATGTACATAAGGTTACATAATTTTTAAAAAAATTAATCATTATTCCATTAACAAGTCAACAAGAACAAAAAAAAAATATGTACAAAAAAATTGGCATGAAGTTTTATGGCTATGGAAAACATGTATAACTGTCATCTTTTTGCAAAATCAGATCAAATAGAGAAACCATGACAACAAAATCAAGCATAATAAAATTGTAGGAAGGCTAAGGTGGTGCCAAAACTCCATGGGCAAAGCTAATATTGATACTTTTTCCTAAAGTACGCAACAGATTGATAAACCAAATCAAGTCTTATGTCTCAATCATTTAGATCGGTTATTGGGGTCCACCTTTGTTATTCACTTCGATCATGATATACGCTCATTGCCAAAAGATTAATACACATAATTTTTGTAAAAAAAATCATGTCCAAGAGAACAGTTCTTTCCAAACGGAATCATTGTAGTCGTTGGAACTCTTTTTTCTTTTCATTTTTGTACTATAAATTCTAAAGATTGCATATTTCTCTATATCCATTGCAATAGCACATAAGATATTTACGAAGAAGGAATTCCTTAAAATCACACAAAACCCAGAAAAAACTAGTATTTTTTACTAGAACAATAATGAAGAAAATCCCAACTTGGAAAACCCTATAACTCAAACTCAAAACAATCATTTACTCATTCCAAATTAACACACTCATAAAGAAACTCTAAAGTTTCTGTTCTTACTTATAAACTTCAAACAAGTCTAATCAAAACAAACTTGCGGTCATTTGAGTAGTTACTTTCATTAAAAATCACATCTTTACATGTAAATCCAAAAAAAAAAACTACAACTATTTGAAGTAACACTTATAAAATGAAAATGATTATATGGCAACGTTGATCAATAAAGAGTAACAGAAACATCATATCTACTAAATCTTACTGAGAAATAACAACAAAAACAACATGCTCACTAAAATTTTGTGTCTCAAAGGAAAAAACAGTGGAGAAGTTTGAGCTAGAGAAAAAGATGGAAAAATCGGGAGAACCAGACTTGATGAAGACGAAGATGGAGAAGTTTGAGCTGAGAAGAAGGCGGGAGAACCAGACTCTGAAGAAGCGGGAGAAAGAAAAGAAAGGGAGTCTGATACTGATTTAAGTACGAAAACGACATCGTTTTGGTACTGGGAAATTAAAAAAAAAAAAAGATCCAAAATGCCTAGTTCCATTAAACCGCATAAGGTGCGGTTGATTCCTTACCGCAGACGAGCCATTCCCGGATAACCAGACCATTGACACCCCCGTGGGAGAGGTTTTGGCTTCGCTTTATAAAGCAGAGAGTTTAGTCTCTTTCCTCACCAAAACCAGACCATTTTTTCCACTTTTCTGCAAAAAATGGGCCTGCTGAAAGATTTATACTCATAGTTGTTGCCTGATCTTTGTTGTTTTTGTTTTATTTTTTTGCCAGAATTGATTCAAAGATATCAATGTTCATTGTTGTTGTTGTTGTATCGGTGAAGAAAAGTAAAGAGGAATTGTGGTTTTGGATTGGAATTTTGCTGCAGCTACTGGAAGACTCGGTGGTTGTTTGATCTGTGTTGGATTGATTTTGCGTTCTTTGGAGGAATCGGAAGTTGATCGAGACGTTACTGAAGCTTCTGATCTGAATATTTTCAAGAATGGTATTGAATATTGTTCTTTTTGGTGGTTCTTCATAGCATAATTTCCATTAATCTTCCATTGGAAATTTGGATGAATTCTTTTTCTTTTTGTTATTTATTACTGATCTATCTTGGTTTCATCAGGATTTGTTATACTTGGTGGAATCCACTTTCGTTTCCATAGTGCCTGTCTCTGTTTCATGCTGTTTCTTGAATCTTGGCTTGGAACAATCATGTCCAAGTAGCTTATAATTTATCAAGTCCTGAACTGGTAGATTTCGAGGTGATACTTTTTTGATGTGTGTGTGCTTACGGCTTTTTTGGGAGTTGTTCAGGTTGTTATTGCATCACAAGTATGTCGCTAAAGTCAGGGGTTTGATATTCTTTTGGCATTGTTCATATATATTTCAGGACTTCCCTTATCTCTTGTATGGGCATATTAGCAGTTTAATGACTGTCTTATCTTTCAAAGACACTTGGTCTTTTGTTGCACTAGCTCAGTATGGTAACTTTTAGGGTTCACTATTTGCTGTTCTTAGAAGCTCTCCCAGATGGTTAATGTTTTGATCTTCAATACATTGAATGCATTTTGTATTGACATTCTTTTGATATGTCACCTAAGGAATAGAATGTGCATGGAAGTGGGACTCAAGAAATTGAATTATTTGTCTGGCATAAGTTTCTTGGGGATTTTTTAGATAGAAAGGCTGGCTTGGAAAGCTAAGTTTCAGCAACAAATTTGCAGCTCCTTCCTCAACATTTTTTCAGCCTTTGTGCAGTATTTTAGGACCCCCATGGTAGTATCAGAAACCCAGAAAGATTTGTTTTCCATTGTTTTTGTTGTAAATAGCCAGTTCTTGTTGTGAGGGTAAAAACCACACACTAACAACTGTCAAGTTGGAAATTTGAATAAGAGGGCGAGCATTCTTCACAACTAATGGCAAAGGCTAGATATGTACACAACCCACCATTTCCACCAACTTCAATTTAATGGGATCAAGCTGGGTAATAGCTTGATGATTTGCCATTGACATCTTGTTGGAATCTGTCGTTCTGATTAAGCCGAATCCTTAGAAGTAAAGGTGCTGAATTACTTTTCATGAATTACTTTTGCTGTTTTGATATGATCCCAGGCTGTCTCTCTGTTTAGAAGTTTGTGTGAAGATTTCCAAGTCTCAAGACCTTGTAGAATGATGATCTTCTGGAATGTTTCCCATAGAATAATAACCTCACTGAAAGTTTTATAGTCATTTAAACGCTGTGTGTCTAGGTGTGAATGTGAATGATAATCGTTGTTATTCAATTGTTGAATTGGCTCTGGTTTTCTTGTTTTTTGGAGTGCACTAATGGACTCAGTTCCGGGCTTATTAACTGCTTCCTCTTATATTAATTGTCTGAAATATATGTAAATACAAACTTCTCCTTTCTCAATGTTGGTACTTGATTACAGAAAATACTTGAAGTATGTTGTCTTGGTTTTATAGGTTGTTTCAGTCAGCTTAGGGGTTGGATCTCTTGCGTGGGTGGAGGATCCTGATGTAGCTTGGGTAGATTGTGAAGTTGTGGAGGCAAATGGTGAAGACATTAAGGTTCTATGTAGTTCAAGGAAGACTCTGAGTATTCTCCATCACTACTTGAAATTGATATTTAAAGAGTATATGGTATATCTGCTTCAACTGATTGTTATTCTTGAAATGTTGAATATCAAGTTGTAATCCATTTCTTTGGTTATTTTACGTTTGTATGAAATTTTGACAAGTGGAAATTTGTCAAACTTTTTGTTAAATCATTTCCATCAAATTGTTATAGGTATTTTTGTTAGTTGAGAAACAAATATGCAGATATTGATGATTCTGACTTTGGTCCTTTCTTTCTTTTGTTAAATTTAAGTTACAGGTTGTCATTAAGACTTCTTGGATTTATCCAAAAGATGATGAAGTACCACCATGTGGAGCGGATGAAATGACAACGCTGGCCTATTTGAATGAGCCAGCCTTCTGGACAAATTAAAATTTAGATGTGATATCAATGAAATATATGTAAGTATTTCCCACTCTTCATTTGATGTTGGAAGCATCTGTTTCAACATTTTCCTATTTATTCAAATGTTTTGAAGCTAATCAACTTGATAGTGCTTCCAGATTTACACAGGAAATATAATAGTTACTGTGAATCCTTTCAGAAAATTGCCTAATATATATGATAGCCATATGATGATGCAGTACAAAGGAGCAGCCTTTGGTGAATTGAGCCCCCTCCCTTTTGCTGTTGCAGATGCAGCACATAGGTACATTGTCACGATCATGAGTTCATAATTTGGTTATCTTCACTTTGTTCATTGGATTGAAGTGCGCAATAGATGCTTCTGACCAAACTGCTCTTTGGTTTGACCTACATCAATAGAACACATCTTTGTTGGTGAGACAAGAGAGGTATTGGAAGAAAGTTTATTGGTGGTGATAAACAACTATTTATAGATGAATATAAAGAATTCATACCTGAGAAAATTCGAATCCTTCAACGATCGACTTGAAAGTAAAGGACAAGTTGAAAGTTTTGACGGATGATGATGACACTCGACATGACAATAGTGAAAAAAAAACCAAAACAAAATGGTTCCGCCTACTCAAAACTAAGAGGGGATGCCAGTGTCGATTTTGATGAGACGTGACGGGAAGTTGTGAAACCTACAACCATTCGTACCGTCCTCTCTGTTGCGGTTGGAGCCAATTGGGTGATCAAAGAACTGGATGTTCAAAATTCCTTTCTTCATGGTGTGCTATCTGAAGAAGTGTACATGTCTCACAAGCTTAGACGCGGGACTGTGTCATCCTGAGGCCAGGTTTGAATTCTTTTACCACATAATTTTAGTTCCTTAATTGGGTATAATATGTGTTTTTGCTGTGTTTCATTTGTTTTGCAGTCAAATCCAGTTCTAGAAGCATCCTGTAAGGCGAATACAATCAGAAACAACAACCCAGGTGGGAAGATTTTGCATTTACAATGTAACTTCTGTATATTGTGCAAAGTTTCTCTAATACTGTCTGGTTGAATTGTTTCCTTCTATCCCTTTGTGTGGAGTATGTTGCAGTCATATCGGTAAATTTGTGGAGATTCAATTTGACCAGAGAGGAAGGATTTTAGGAGCTGCTATCAGAACTTACCTGCTGGAAAAATTTCGTGTTTGTTTAGTGTCCGATCCTGAATGGAACTATCAATACTTCTACATGCTTTGCACTGCACCACCTGTGGTAACAAGTCTTTATTTGCTTCACCAAGACTTAATAAAAAAGACTAAATAGATGCTTGTAGAGGATTACATTTTTTAGATATATATTTTTTAAATTTTTTTAGCTTAACATAGAATTTTCATTCTTAGTTATCACATGGTACATGGGAAAGTGATGCCCAAAAAAATATATGTAGCCGACCCCAATGCTTTCCCTTTCTACTTATATTGATTTAACATATTAATCCTATGGTGTGTAGCTTGTGGAGTCTTGGTAATATTCAATATTCAAGGGGACAAAATTGGTTGTCTTTGTAGATTCACATTCTATAGCAGCTGGTATTACAGTTGGTCCTGAGGTTATTCCTGATAAGAATGTCAAATTGCAATTATTCACTGTCCACTGCTTTCATTGGTTTTTAGCGTAGCATTTTCTTTGTTCTTCCTAATGAAAAATAGCAACTCATGGCTAGCAGGTGAACTACAGATTGATTTTTTGTCCACTTGCAGCTTTGTTCAGTCTCATTCGTGGCTTAGAATGCTATGATGTGGGGGGTTGGGTCCTAAAAGACGTTTGTAGCCTTATTTGGACTCCAAATTTACTTTTATGGGGTCTAGTATAAATCCTTTCTTTGAGGAACTTTTCTTTTCTGTGTGTTTTTTCTGCATGTTGAAAGGGAGAGTAGTAAGTTGGGATGAAGATTTTGAGCCGTGGACAGCTAATGTAGGGCATGTGAAGAGACACTCTGCTACATGGAATGGTGTTGGAGAGTACTCCAAAACCGGTGCTAGAGCCTCCCAATCATAGATGTATTGTGGGCTTAGATTAAATAAATATTGTAGATCAAGGAACTTAGTATGTGGAATAAAGGATTGAGATTGGCTAGGTTTTTTGAGGTGGTTAGTTCAAGAAATTAATGGCAGTTCTGATACTGTACTTTGTAGACAGTAGCTATGTTGGCATGTTGGGTGCTAAAAAATGATTAATGCATATAGAAGTTAGGCTAATTAAAGATTGATAAGTGCATTGCTCCAGAGATGAGGCTTGTCAAGGTAGGATTTCTAATGTTGTGAAGAGTCACTACCAAGGTCCGGTTGCAGGATGATGAAGTGCGGAAATTAGGGAAATGGGGGATAAGAAGCAAAAAGATAAGGTAGAGGCAGATAGGCATCACATATCTATACTCTTAGGGATCTTGCCTAGGTTTATAATCTCCTCACATAATCCCAAGAGAGCTTCTAAAAGTAATATGAATTGAGCTTGAAAGGGAACATATGTATAGATACCAGGCATCTTCACTCAAATTAGGACCCTGGAATCTAAACCTTAAAAAATTGACTTGTGAGATCCATTTAAACTTGTAAGAGTCCACATATGACAGCCCAATAATATAACTTGAACAAACTGTTATCCAGTACCACCATGAAAGTCCATCTCCAAAAGAGTTGAAACAATGAAATGCCTTTAATCTCTAATATTTTTCCAAATGTAAAATTGATGAACATTGACAATCTTCACTTAAAAATAGAAGTTCGATTTTGTGAACCCAACATTGGATTATGCATGGTTTAGATAGCTCTAAGTTGAAGGAATTTAGGGGAGAGTCAAATGCTTTAGTTAAGAAAATTCTGCATTAACAAGAAACGTAGTTATTATAATTTTGATGTGACCTTTTGCAAACACTCTCTCTCTCTCTCTCTCTAAATTTGGGGGATGGTAGTTCCACCATGTGTGTGAGTGAGGGAAAGAAAAGATGTGGGGTGTTTGGCTTCAGGGCTATTCTTATTCAATAAATAAACTAATTAGGAAATTGGTACGACATTGAACTGGCATGGTGTCGCTTTGTCAATATGCAAATGTTATCAATTTTGAAATGTTGAGTTATGGCTAGAGAACAAATCCGAATGTTAGGGGATGTCGTTGTAGTTCACCAATTTTTAAATTGGATCATTTTTTTGGCTTTTTTTTTTTTGGGGGGAAGGGGTGGTTCTAACCTTGTCTTTAGTACTTAAACTTTAAAAAGTTTGTATCACTTATAATAGTGACCAATTCGGTGTTGCGTGGCACGACATCAAGTTGGCATGCCTGCATTAACACTTGTTTCCCGATTGTCCTGTTAATTCATGTTGGGACAAGAACCAAAATTTTGTTTCATTTCCATCAACATGATTGAAACATTGGAATGTTCTAGAATCAAAATTCTAATTTTTCTTTGTTTCCATTGTGGTTCTAAAACATTTTCCAAATGACTCCAACATGTTTCTATTTCCTACCTAATCAAAAATAGGGTAAGTTACATTCACCTCCACTGAGTTTTAGTTAAATAACAACTAGAAGACTCCTTCTTGTTTGGATAATAACACTGAATTCCCTTCCGTCTTAGTTGTTGGGACAGATTCTCCCTTCAGCTAGTGTTCCATTGAAAAACAATTAACTATTTGATGCATAATCAATTTATATTCTCAAAACACCATTTTTACACTTCTATATCTCACATATATTACCCTTCTATATGTCACATATATTACCAACCATAAAATATCAACCATAGGTCGCTAGTTTCCAAACAAAACCCATTAATTTATCCCCTTTGTATTCAACCCTCCATGGCTTCAATTTCTTTTCAGCCGTCGCCGCCTCCTCCTCCTCTATCTCTTTGCAGCAAACCCTTACCACCATAAGTGCCCTTGCCTACCCTTTGACTGAGCCACCTTGGCACTCATCCTCGAGCCCCCTACCCCCCACCCTTCTCCTCCCCCCCCCCCCTCCCGCAGTTGCCCGGAGAATCAAAATCTAACACCTAAAGTGTTAATCGCAACCCCTATTATAATTGAAAATCACAAATGTTACCATTGGTATCGATATCGAAAAGTGCACTCTTGAATACTAAAAATCTAAAAGTATTTATCAATTTTGATTTTTATTTTACCATTTCAATTTTAAATCAAGCTAGCAAATTGAAGCTTTTCGACTCCCACTTCTTAACTCGGTCGGCATTTGTGATTTTTCCATTTCAATAGAAATTTGACTGAGGATACAAAGACAAAAAAAAAATGGATTGGAGACAAGGGGATAGTTGTTTGCAGTGGAGTGGCGTGGTGGTTTTGCTTCACAGCTCGCATGCTTCTGTGTGATTTTGTTGTGATAGGTATATGATTTTGTGTGGTTTTGATTGTGTGTGTCTTGCTACAAGAAAAAAATTGGGTTAGGATTTGATGCAGAAGTGGTTGGGTTAGGCATTACCAATGGTGGATAGGTGGTGGAGGCTAGTTGGAAGAGGTTGTTCCTATTTGTGTGTGTTTGGTGGCGTTTGTGAATATAATGTAGTAGGTTGTGGTGGTGGCGGTATGTTTGCGGTGGTGGTGGCAAACAATATGGTGGTGATTATGTCAATTGGCGGCATGTTTGTGTTCTTGAAATTGAGGAAAAAAAAGGTGATGATGTGGCGTTGTGAGGTTGGTTTGTAGTGGAATCAACAAAAAACTAACCTTACAACATGAAACATATCCTTTTTACTAAAGGGTATTTTTGTCATTTCATAACTTCTGTTAGACAAATAAGACTGAAGTGACTGATAGAGGAGGTCAGTGCTATTATCCAAACAAGAGTAGGTCTAATTGTTATTTGACCAAATCTCAAGGAAGGTGCCTCAAAAATATGCACCAGAATGAAATTTTGATCATTGTGTTAGGATACCATCTCCGAATGTTGACTCAAAGTTCCATTTGTTTATTGCTCCAATTTCAGACAAGTCTTATATCATTTTCCATGCTGTGAGAATCTCCAAAAGTACAAGTTGGGAAATCCAAGAACATTTCATTATTTGAATAAATCAAAATGCTACGAGTTAGATGGCATTGATGATTCTAAAGATTACATTGCTACAAGGGAGGGCAATGGATGTTGTCGGAATAAGTACCGAGAAACAGGTTTTTTTGGGGCCGGTTAATGTGGGAAACACAATTCTTCCACTTTTAAAATCTCTCCTATAATGTCTTCCTCTTAATTTTTCTTCCTTCCTTAGGATGTGATCTTTTGAGTTGTGGCTGCAATTCTCCATCTTGGATTTGGAAAAATTGGATCTGCTATGGGAAAGGAAATCGACTTGTCTGTGCCTAAAATGAAAAGTCTTGGTTTCATATTAGAACTGCTGCAGAACTGTTCATGTAAAGGATCTCTTTCATTGGCACAAGCACACACTAAAATGAAGTAAATTAATTCTCAAATGTTTTCTGTTAATTTTCACCACAGGAGAACAAAATGCAACTTCTGTCTGATCAAAAACCAAATGCAATCTTTGAAATTGTTTGGTGTTCAGGTGTGACACAAAGGCTTTAGAGGATTCCCTCTGCAAAGATGTAATTGTAACTTGTGACAAAACCATTACCAAATGGCTTGATCCAGAAGCTGCAGTTGTCAGTAGAGATGCTTTGGCAAAAATTGTGTACTCAAGGCTGTTTGACTGGTAAGCTTCATTTTCATGCTTTGATTGTGTATTAATGACTACTCGACAGTGGATTAATTTTGTTCCTATTTTAAGTTCTGTACCCCCAATTGTTTTTGAAATATCCAGATGCAATTTTTGCTGTACTGATATATCCATACTGCAAGCTGTGGATAAGATCAATAGTTCAATTGACCCAGACTCAAAGTACTTCATTGGGGTGCTGCAGATATATGGATTTGAGAGCCTCAAGATAAACAGGTGCTTAACTGGTACGCCTTTTGATTCGTTGTGGATGGATCTGATTTTTTGAAGTGAATTGCATAAAAGGTTGTGTTGATTGTATCAGAGACTTTGAAGAGGTAGGGGAACTGCTGCGCATGTCTCATTTGCTTGGTTATGTTTTGGCTCAGTCTGTCTCCAATACTTGTGGTTCGTATGCCCATTGTTTGGACAATCGTTCTCTCCTTTTTTTTTGATGCAAGGACCTGCTGCTGCCTGCTTTACCATGCTACCCTTTTAGTGATGGCCTAGAAACGAGTTTCTCGGCAGAAATGTCGCACTAGTCAAAACTTGAACAATTTAGGGCCTTTGTTTTCTATGAGTTGTCTATGATGAGGTTGACTGCTTGCAGAGAACTTCTTGTTAAATGATTTGGCTGATTATTGGCATTTGTGGATATGCGCAGCTTCGAGCAATTTTGCATGGATCTGACTAATGAGAAACTACAGCAGCACTTCAATCAGGTTTAAGGGGAAGACCATTCCGTTCTGTTAACCATCCTTGGAATTCATGTAATTCTGCTTTTATTTTAATACAAAATGTTTTGTTTCCTATCAAAAAATAATCTATCTATCGGATGCAGCTTTATAAATCCCAAAGTTGTCTTACAGCATGTTTTTAAAATGCAGCAAGAAGAATATATGAAAGAAGAAATTAATTCGAGCTACATTGAATTCATTGATAATCAAGATGTTTCGGATCTCATTGAAAAGGTTTGTGCCCTTTGCTGGCTTAAATTTGCCTTTTTACTGCTTTCTGGAGTTGTCACTGGCTTTATATTATTGGTATAACTGAATATCAACAGACATATAACTGCTCCCCAGATCCATATTTTATTTTTACTGACATTTTCTTTTTGTTTGTCCTAGATTCTTTTCTTACTTTGTATGTGTCTAAAAGGTCATTATTTGGTGTGGTCTCCCCTAGGCGATAGTAAAGGGTACTGAGAGAGGTGGACTTGGTACTGATCTAACTGTTGACATTTGCACCTGAATTAATAAAAGCGATATTAGGGTTCCAAGAAATAGAGAGAAGAGAAGAGGTGGAAAAAAGAGAGAATAATCTGTTGTGACTTGTGAGGTTAGGTTGTCCTACACTGTTATGTATAACTGAGTAATACTCGCTACTTCTCCTCATTTAACCGATTTAGCTCAGCCTAAGACTCCTACTTGAACAAGGAGTCCACTCCTACTCCGTCACTAGTAACTCGGCAATCACCTTGATTCAAATAAGGAGATCAACATCCTTGAATGGTAACATGAGCATATAAAGCATATTGAGCTTGATTATTACTTTGTGCACCATCATCTTCAATTAGGCACCATCACCCTATCATTTCTTCCTTCCACTATGCAGTTAGCGGATTTCTTTACAAAATCTCACAATAACACACTTTCATTTTTTATATTGACAAACTTATAATGTTTTTTTGCCACATCATAAGTTTGAAGGGGAGGTGTTAGAGTATTATAATATATTTAGACCAAGGGTAGTTTAATAATTTATTTTATTCTGTTTTGCCCTACTATTTAAGGGTCTCTATTTATGTAGTGTAGCTTTGCGGTGTTGTAACAAACTAGTTAGCAATAATACATTCTCACCTTTTTCTAATTCTTTCCTTTTTTTTTAAAATTATGTAACCAAAGTTTTCATTGTCGTCACCTATTTTGTCCAAAAAATCTCTTTAAACCACTCATTCGAAGTTGAGCATCACAGAAACACAGTCCAAATCGTCACCTCCAAATCTAGATCTAAGCAACAATCCAGCCAAAAAAAACTCCCAAATCAACAGATCTTGAAAATAGTCCCTATTTTTTTGAAAATTATTCTAAAGTAGGAAACCCAGCTCAAACAACTCCAAAAAATTATGCAAAAGTCACTATAAAATTCCTATGAGAAGTCGATCAAGGGGCTGATCCGTTGGTCATTAGTTGTTGACATCAGTATGACGAGACACATGACATTAGCAACAAAAAATTGTTTGGAAAATTTTCCTGCTACGTTTTTGATGTTAGATAATCTCGATTAATGCTCTGATACCAAGTTGAATTAATAAAAACAATATTAGGGTTCCAAGTAGTAGAGTATTAAAAGAAATTCATCAATATCAAGGTAGAGATATGATAGAATCCAAATAGACCATGAATATCTAAGTTGTTTGGATGAATATATATGATGATAAATCTGTGTGAAATTTATCTTTATCATATGTATCCTCACCTTATAAAATAGGGCGAGCCTCATGCAATCAAGTACCATCAATAATATATTAAATGTAGCCCATATGACTTTAGGTCCGTAGATGTAAGCATAATGTGTCGAACCACGTTAACTCTTTGTGTCTCGATTTTCCTTTACTTTTCTATGTTTAGTTTCTCCTCTATTCTAAACTTTCATATAGTATCGGAGCAATAGATCCTTCCTGTTTTATTTGTCCACCAAATTTTGCATTGTCTATTTTAATTGTCAAAAAAAAAAAAAAAACAGATTTCAACCAACGTTAGGAGAGCTAGAGTTGTTTTTGTGGTGATTGAGTTTTGTCATCTCTCTATGGTTTATCGGTAGAATTACACTAATGAAATGAGAGATAATGAGCAAGGCACAAAATAATAAGGATGGCCCATCCCATCAAGTTGGCAGTCATATACCATGGTTAAAGTTTCTCTCTCTTCTGGTAATTCCCATTTCCTCACTTCACCTTCCCAAGGAACCGGCAATTCCAACTCTCATCAAGAAATTCGACTGTTGAAGATCTCAATTCTCACGTTTCCTACGGGATGATGCATCACCACAAGAACATTGCTTTGTCTCAGGTCTTGATTTAGCATCAGAGAGAGAAAAAAAGGATAAAGAGATATAGTCAAAAAAAAAAAAGTGACGGAAAAGAAAAGAGAAGAGGGGAGACCAAAAAAACAAACAAAAGAAAAAAATTATTTTGTCACAGTTTATTTTTAAGGGGAAGTTTGAGGAGGAGTTTCATCATCAAAACTACGCCATTCAATTGACAAGCGAGCATCCCATGTTTCAGTTCAAGTTGGACACTTCAATTGATTTTAGTGTACCAACTTGAGGGGGAATATTAAAGATATGACAAAATTAAAAGAAATCTATTAATATCAAGGTAAAGATATGATAGGATCCAAAAAGACAATTGATATCCAAGTTGTTTGGATAAATATAAAAGATGATAAATTTGAAATTTATCTTTATCATATTTAATTCTTACCCTATAAATATGGTTGAGCTCCATGTAATCAAATACTTTCAATAATACATCGGATATAGCTCATAGGACGTTAAGTCCATGATGTAGGCACAATGTGCCTAACCTCGTTAACTCTTTGCGTCTCGATTTTCCTTTACTTTTGTATGTTCAATTTCTCTGCTATTGTAAACTTCTACATAGAGAAAAGACGAGAAGAAAGAGAAGAGGCAAAAGAAAGAGAGATTAATCTGTTGTGTAAGTTAGGTTGCCTTACACTCTCTTATTTATAACCGAGTAATATTAGATTAATTACAATATTGCCTTACACTAATTAACTTATGTCTAATATATAAAATAAGAACTCTAACATATGCAAAATAATTGCTCTCATCTTCGAACCCCAAAACCTATGTTGGTAGCCCTAGCATGTTCGGAACTGCCCGGTGGAAGTTGTAAATGGGCATATGTTTTTCGAAAATGGCAGTTCACTTTGGACTTGATGTGATAAATGTGCACATGGCTGATTATAAGGGCCATTTAGTGGTATGACACTTTGGATTGTCCTAGTTTTGCCTTGAGTAGGATATAAATTGATCCTCTCTCTCATGTGTATTTTTTCCCCTGGATACTCGATGTCCAGCAGCTGAACAGAATATGTACTCTGCACTGGCTGTACTGGGATGATAGCTATAATACTCGAAGTGTATCTCCAGATGTAAGTGTTATTTCCTTGGGGGGAAAAGTATTGACTACTAATATTCTAGTAGTTTATATCAGTTGAAATTTAAATCTAGGATTTATAGTGGAGAAGAGACTAGAGAAGAGTGAAGAGAGAAGAGAGAAGAGAGAAAGAAGAGATTATGAAATAGGATTAAGGACAGTGAGAGATAAATAGTGTCTCCACTCCTCACCCGCATTTATATTAACCTATAATAATGTGAGGATTACAACAATACCCTCAATTTAAAATAACCTAACATTCTATACTCAATCTCAAGTTGGAGCATAGCTGTCTCTCATGCCTAACTTGTATACTTTTGAATGAAAAATTCTATTGCTATGCCCCTTAGTAAACATATCAGCTAGTTGTTCTTTGGACGTCACAAATAGCATACAAATCAACCCATTATTTAGCTTCTCTTTAATGAAGTGTCTGTCAATCTCAATATGTTTTGCTTTGTCATATTGATCTGGATTGTAAACAATATTTTTGGCCGCTTTAGTATCACAATACATGCGCATAGGTTCACCACTAGAGACACCCCAGTCTTTCATTAAGGTTTTCAGCCTCATAAGGTCGCAAACACCATGAGCCATAGCTCAGTATTCTGCCTTTGCACTAGATCTAGCCACCACTGCTGGCTTCTTGCTTCGTCAAGTAACTAGATTTCCACCTACAAAGATAAAGTAACCTGCAAGAGACCTCTTATCTTGAATTGACCTTGCCCAATCTGCATATACTCAAAGTATCCGATGACCTGCCTCTTGATGAGAGACCCACAGAACATGTACAAATTGGCTATCAAGACTTACTGCATATGCTATGTCTAGGCATGTGTGAGAAAGATATATATATGTCTTCCAACAAACCTCTGATATCTTTCTCTATCAACTTGATCACTTACATTATTTCTCAGTTTGTGATTTGTCTCAATAGGTGAGTTAGTCGGTCTACAATCCAACATGCCGATTTTTTTCAGGAGATTAAGGGTATACTTTCTCAGTGAGATAAAGATGCCTTTATCTGATTTGACCATTTCAATTCCTAAAAAATAGTGCAACCACCCAAAATCCTTGATCTCAAACTCTTTAACAAGATGAACTCTTAATTTGGACACTTCCTCCATATCACTTGTAAATATTGTATCATCAACATATACTATAAGAATGAAGATCTTACCATTCCCTTGTTTGATGAATACAGTGTGATATGCATGACTCTACTTGACCCAAACTTGACCATTGCCTTAAGGAATCTCTCAAATCTAACTCTAGGAGACTACTTGCGTGCATAAGGAGATTTCTTTGGCTTACATACTTTTTCCTCTGTATCTGGAGAAGAAAACCTTAGAAGAATATTCATGTACACTTCCTCCACCAAGTCCCCATGAAAGATGCATTCTTTATGTTCAGTTGTTATAAATCCCATCTTAAATTGGCAGCATACGAGATAATGACACGAATGAAATTCATCTTCGCCATAGGAGCAAATGTGTCCTGATAGTAA